TGGCAAAGAATTTAACATTAATGTCCATATATGTATATAAGTATATACACTCAAATGTAATCTAGATTAATGTATATTGAGATATGTGCATACATTTGCACACATATTATAAAAAAAGATAATCTATAAGTGAGCAATTTAACAGCTCATAGACAATACCTTCATTTTCTAGTTAAAATACTTCAGCAGGTCAACATCTCTTCACACACAATGAAACAAATGCAAAGAATTGCAGCTACTTTGGTGGCTTTTGGCTTGGACTCCCTGCCATTGCTGCTGCTACAGTGAGATAACTTCCAGCTTTGCATAACGCTTGGTCATGCCTTTGCTTTCACTGCCCTTTTTGCTGGTGGCTGCATTGCAAATGGCTACAGTCAAAGTCTCTGAGTCAGTCCTCAGCATTTGTCCCAAGCATGTCTTTCTAAACTGCCTGCCTGCTCCAACACAGCTGATGGGGACACTTGCAGCCGCTTCAGGGACACAGCCAGATGCAGCTTAGGGTCTGATGCCACATCCTTTCTAAAACTCTAGAGACAGGTGCTCAACTATCTGTTGGGAAGGCTCAGCATCTTCTGTAGTCATCTTGACTCTGCTCTGTTGCTTGTTGCAGAGTGACATAAAACATTGGTGTTTTCCAAGGCAAGACATTTTGGAAGGACATACCTGACACAATTCTTGCTTTAAACTGGAATGAATCACACTCAGGACTGATGTGCCTTGGTGATTTGGTTTTCTGAGTAATGCTTCAGAAAACATTCAGGAGATCTAGTCTGGTCCCTTCCTTTATGATCTTTTTCTTTTAGGAGTCTACAGTCAAATCTGTATACCTGTAATGCTGACAGCAGTAGTAAGAACTGAGGTTTTCTACCTCTTTTCCTCTGTAGGACTTCTGTGTGAATGATGCTGCCCTGGGGACTGAAGCAGCAAAACCAACCTTTTGGAAATGGCTCCCAAAGGGGTTTGTTACCCATGTGTTGATCAACTGGTTGGCATCATCACTACATGCTTATTTGGGGACCATGTTTGAGCTAAAAATACAGGGTGAAAACCATTCTACATTGTCAAATAATACCGGCACCAGTGCAAGCTCTTTGTTCTGCAGACTTGAAGCAGTGATTATACGGCTGTATGGGGCATATTTTTGCTCAGCATCTTTTTGGTCATCAACAAATGTCAGATTGTCCACAGGACATGACTTAGCTGTGAGAGAAGGGTACTGGTGGCAGTAGACATTTCCATGTGTTTCAAAATGGATATAAGCACATGTGGGACAATGCTGAATGAAGATTTCAGCTCACTCCTCCTTCAAGGAGATGACTGGGGACTTGGATGTTGGACATGGAGCAAGGTTAGGCTTAGGTTTTCTTCTTTCCTTAGTAGAAAACTCCTTGTTCTGCTTAATCAGCTTTAGTTTTATGCTCTTCTGCAAATTGGAGAAGAAAATTCTCAGGAACAGCAATGCCTTGAAGTAGGTAAGGGGTGGTGTTTCAGAAGTTGAAACAACTTGTAAGTGTTGAGGAAGTGATAGTATTGCTTATGTAAAATGGTGCCCTGTCAGCTTATTTTTACACATGGTGTTTTATGTTTAGCTGGACAGATGTTTATTATGGTTTACTGTTTGCTGTCAACCACATGGCAGATTGCTTATTTTCTTATGGGTTTGAGGAATGGGGAAGGAAATCTATCAACCTGATATAATAGGTATGTTACCCATTAGATAAAAGGAGGAAGAATAATCTTATTTTATTTGAAAATACAATAGAGTCAAGACACAAAAAGTTGGACAGGGAACAAAAGTAATAAACATGAAATGCACTGTAAATAAAACACCAGTAGCAGTTGGACTATTGAAGTTGGTGGGAGCTTTGCCATTGACTTTGGTGGGACAGGATTCACCCAAGGATGTGGCCCCTGGCCCGGGGTCCACCCTGCTAGGCTACCTGGGTGTGTCCTTGCTTCCCACCACTCCCAAAGACCTCTGCTCCAGCAGAGGTATCCAGAACGTGGAGATACCCAAAGTCTTGGGGTGAAACCATTTCCTACCCAGAGTCTGAGTGGCTGGGACTTGCAGCTCAGTGTTTCTCATCAGAGAAACCAGAGCTAAGGCAGGGGTGAGAGCTTGGCATGTGCAGAACAAAACTCTTCTATATTCGTTCAGATTCAAGTTTCATCAGCTTGAAGGTGGTTAGGTACCATCTGGAAACATTTCTGGAATAATTTATATTGTTTTATGTTATTAGGACTGCATTATGCCACAGGAATACTGACTGTGCATTCAAAAAAAAGGCTCATCTTTTCAAGTGAGGCTGGGAGTGGAACCAGCCCAGAACAAAGGGTCACTTCAAAGTCAAGGATGACTGTTTCAGAAGGCAAAATCACAGCTGGATCCAACTTCTAAAGAGGGGGAAAATCATAATCTCTGCCAAAATCACCCTTTGATAGACTTGCAAAGATAACAAATGATACGCAAAAGGTTTTGGGCAGAGGTGTAATGACTGTACTGCATCCTGCTAAACCAAAAGATCGTTCTACTGAAAAAAATCCCACTTGTCTTCATTAAAGGTTTCTTTGTTAAGTGACAGTGAATATAATTGAAAGTAAAATGTTGATTTGGTACCTGCTGTTTCAAAAGCAAAGAAAATGTGTAAGAGATGCTTGGATGGTGATCAGTGGCCTGTGAGATGAATGACAGTGCTGTGTGTAAGGGCCACAGAACACGGCTGCATTGCAGGCTCCCTGTTTGTTACCTGCAGGCTATGGGAAGTATTCTGTTCACAACAGGGATGCTCAGACTTTGACATGTTTTTTGTGAAAGAGGCAGTTGATATCTTAATCTGGAGTTCACCTGGAAGAGCACTGTCTGCTGGCATTAATCCAGTTGCAGGATGTTGGTCCTAATTTTCAGGTCTGTCATAATTAAATCGCCTCTCTTCTAAGCAAATTATTAATAAAAAGCAGTTTTGCTTTATTCTTGATGGCCAGAGTACAGCTGTGCACACCTGTAGATAGGCCCAAGGGAGCTTCCAAATGAAATTGCTTTGAAATATGTTTCTTCTGGGACACTCTTGAGTGATATATACACTTGAAATAATTCACTAGGTTTATTTTTTTAGTGAATAAATTGTATGTCCCCCTGCCCCCTAGGACCTTGCCAAGTTCTCACCCTGATCCTCCACCTCTGCACCAAGGGTCTGTTCCTCTCCTGGGGACATTGCCCCTCACCAGCCCTGTTTTTGCCAAGGAAGTGATTTCTCATGATGTGTGTGTCTGTGACAAGGCAGGGAATTGGGGACCAGTTACCCCTTCATTCAGTGCAGAATTAAAACCACTAAGTTATGTTTGTTTCGCAGGATACCAGATTTTGTTAAGGTAGATGGCTGTGTAGGAAGTAAAAGGCCTGGCATTGTTGTTAGGTAGCATCCTAGAAAGCAACAGAATTCATAGGAGACACTCCAGTACCACAATCTTCTTGTCCTTTTAATCCATTTCAAAGTTTGCGAGTGCTATGTCCCAGCTTTAGGGAGGTGGGCATTTGTCCAGCCAAAAGCAATCCTGGCTGCCATGGATTTGGGTAAGGTTCAGGTGAAAAGGAGGTTGTTCACTCAATCTGACGTGAATGCATTTAGGTAAAGACTTAGGTGTGTCTTCCTGCTGAAGGGAGAAGATAGTTTTCCCTCTCTGTATGTGCTGGGAACTCCCATGGTTAATAAAACAAGATTTTTGTAAGATGGGCCTAAAACCTGCCTTTCTTTATTTGTCTAAATCCATATCTGTTGGGAGCGTGTTTGAGAGCTGTTGGTGGGGTACAATTCCTGACACAGTGGGCCTTGTAAATCCTCAGCCTTGTTCCTGCAGTTGTAATTACTTTCTCATAGTAGGGGAGTTAGTGTAAAGCCAAGAAAAAGGGATTTAAGCCAGGACTTATGACGGGGGTCTTGAAAAAGCGAAGAGGATTTTTGGTTTTGTAGTTGATGCTGTGGTAACAAAATTGAAGCATGAATTTAACAGTTGCCTCAGTTAATTCAGTTTCTTAGCATGTATTTTCCCACCTTTTACACTACACTTTAGCTGGAGCTGATGAAGTACCAGTCTCACTGAAGTGTACTGTAAATTGCATTTAGGAGTATTTTTGCCCACACATATTTCTCAGCACAGTATTGATGTCCACGTGCAGTGTGTACTGCTGGAAAATGTATGTCTCAGTCCAGCATTGCATCAAAATAAAAGAATTTTTCTTTTTCCATAATTAATGAAGAAACATGTTTAACCCTGTTGCTTAAGCCAGGCTTAATGGTGCAGTGTGGATATCTGGGTGAGGCTATTGGAGCTGAAGGATGCAGTCTGAGATGGAAGATGAGGTTCATCCTTGTAGGCTGTGGCCACACAGCCTGGAGATTTGTAGAGCAAAGCAGAGAAAATCTGATGTCTGCGCAACACATCTTACAGAGGAGCTTATCCTGGAGTGGCTGTTTCCTCAGGCTATCAGGTTGAGAGGTGTTATGTACATCCCTGCAACGTCCTCAGGTTTAAATTCATCCCAGTAGTACAGGGTTTGTGCACTCCACAAGCTCTCTGCAATGTGAAACAAATTATGGTAAATGGGGCAACTGGGACATTCACTTTTAAAGTACTTTCTTGCCCAGAACAAGAAAACTCCTCTGAAATCTGAAAGAGAAAATTTGCGTTTTTAGTTTGTCCACTTGTGTGTGAACTATGTGGCTATGGAGCAGGGTGGGAGTGAAGTATTGCCTCTCTCCTGGGATTGCACAAGGTTTGCAGCGTGACTGAGAGTTGGAAGCAGAACTGTGGTGTTGTTTATTTATTTCCCCATGGTAAGTCTAGATAAAATGTCAGAGGAGACATTTAATCTTGTAAAAAGGTGGAAAATGGGAAGTTTCATTTGCTGAAATGTAACAGGGCCGTAGCATTGTACCTGTGCAGTGATGTTGGTGTAGGAAGGTATTCTGGTCTGGATAATGATGGCAGCATCTTTCTTGCAGGCCCAAACAGGAAGATGGAGTGTCAAAAAATTACCAATTTTGGAAACCAGCTTCTTCGTCGGAAAAATGTGGACTGCTCTCGAGAAGACAGTCGCCTGTCGCGATGCCTTAACACGTTTGACTTGGTGGCCCTGGGTGTAGGCAGCACTTTGGGTGCTGGTGTCTATGTCCTGGCTGGAGCTGTGGCACGGGAAAACGCAGGACCTGCCATCGTTATCTCCTTCTTGATTGCCGCCTTGGCTTCGGTGCTGGCCGGACTCTGCTACGGAGAATTCGGTGCTCGAGTTCCTAAGACAGGATCAGCTTATCTCTACAGCTACGTGACTGTGGGTGAGCTGTGGGCCTTCATCACAGGCTGGAATCTAATCCTGTCCTATGTTATTGGTAAGTATGGTGGGTGTGCTGCCAGAGCCTAGCTTTAGTTCAACGTGGCAGCCTGGTCTGTAGAGTCACCCTTGTTTGGGTGCCTGTGTTACTGTTACAAAATGAATGCTTCACTCTTGCACTCACCCAGGGTTTCAGGACTCATCACTGGGATACGTCTTTGATGTCCTGTGCTGCTGACTGAGGGCTTATTGCTGCTGGGAATTCCTCTGAATCCGCACCTCATCCCTCTGGCATCCCCTGGCTTCTGCACACTTGCTAGGGTGCTAAAGAGTGTCCTGTCTGCTTAGAAAGGAGCTGCTCATGGAAAGATGCTTTTTTACAGTGTCTGTACTCACAGTTGATCAAGGATTAATTCTGGTCCCTTTGGGATCTATTTAAAGTATCTGGAGATAAGAGTTTTGTCTTGTGAATTGCTGCAGAATTAATCTTGAGATGATCTTCAGGTTCACAGTCTCTGGAAAATACAAACCAAATCCCTTCTAAGCCCTTGACTCCCACTAGGAGAGGCCCTGGCTCAAGCTCAGAGCATGCGCTGTGCAACTCAGCTGATGCATTAAAACTAAGCCACACTTTGCTAATTAAGAATTTGTGTCTTTTCAAGCACATTCTGGGCAGGCTGCTTGTTATCATGCCTCTAAGGCTGCAACGCCAGTTGAGACTGAAAGCTTGCTAGTTAAACTGAAAACCAACTGTTTGCTAAATTACTAAAGGGAGTTGGTTTTTTTTAAATGCGTTTTATGGGATTTGTAAGCATTACCTCGGAATTTAGTTTCCATGGTGCTTGGAGGGTAAGAGCATATCAAGAACAACATAGTGGCATAGCAGCTGCCTGTCTGAGATCATGCTGGCTTTCCTCTGTGTGTTACCTGAAATATTTTTCTCCTCTTCTCCTCCTTCTTAACAAAAAAAAAAAAAAAAAAAAAAAAAAGAGAAGATGAAAAGCCAGAGTGATTAAACTCCTCTCCGTAAGAAATCTGAGTCCTGTAGCTATTTTGTGAATTACATTCACTGCAAGGAGTAGATAAAAATAATTTTTTAAAAAGTAAGTGTATAATTTCTTCCACACTCCTATGATGGACTCTGCTTAGGCTACACGTAGAAAAATTGAACAGACTTCTTGGTAATTTTTCTTCTGTTCCAGAAAGGTAATGATAAATCGTCTCCTTCATGCCCTTCATCTAGTTGGTTTTGGGGCCATTCCTACCATGATACTGGACGACCAAAATGAGTGACATAGCCGTGGTTGCTGTCCCAAAACCTGATTCTGCAAATGCACAATGAAAAGTTTTGCCTACTGAATGTTCTGCTCCGAGGATCTGGGCTCAGAGTGGTATTTCCGAGATTTTTTTTTTTTTCCCTCTCATAATGGATTTTGAACAACTGTCTCAGTTCTTATTTCAGAGTTGACTGATCAGTGTATTGTCACAAGGCAGGGAATTCAGTTAAAAATAAGTAGATACTATCCATGAATGTGTTCAAGTACAACTTCATTACTTTTATTGCAGTTCTGTGTCAAGAGTGAGTATTTGCAAACTGTCTTTCTCATAATTTGTGAGAAAGGGTGGCTAAGGTGGAAGAACACTGGGGGAGGATATGAGGTGTAGGAGGTCTCTTTATCTTACCCAGCTTTTTTCTCAGAGCTAATTGCCTCTCTTGAGAGCAAGGACAACTCCCAGCAGCTTCTGGGGCATGGAGGAGAAGGATATGTTGGCTGCCACTGTAAGGCCCCAATCAACTCACTCAATGAGACTTTTGAAAGTGTCAAATGGTTCCTGTACTCTGAGTTGGACACACGGGAAAAATACTGACCAAATAGTCTCAAGAGGTCAAAACAACACAAAAGTTTACTGGCAAACTTTGAAAAATTAGGAGACTTTGGCTAAAGACTTACTACAACATCTGATCAACATAAAACACTTCTCACAGCATTAATTTAGCCCATCCAACTTAGCAAACTTTAAACCTGTTCCATGTTAGTTACTCAAAATCGTCCATGTTAGTTACTCAAAATCTTCCAAGAACTGGGAATTAGAAGAAGGAGGGGAAGACGGAGAAGATATAGAAAAGCACACATAGCTACCAGCACCTGGGTTCCAGCAGTGTTCAGATACAAACTCCAAGAGGAAGGTAGGGTCAAGACGTGCTGCACTCATGCTCAGCCATAAAAACCCCTGGGCCTTTATGGGCCCTCCCCCCAGGTGGGATTTGTGGTCATTTGGCCACTTGGGAGCCGGGTTAGGCAGAGTGTAGCCCTGCCCCTGGTGTGCCAAAGCAGTGCTGGAATAGAGGCTGGGGGTGTGGGGGCAGGGCACTGCCTCAGCAGGACAGAGCTTGACCTGCTCACTGTCAAACTCGCAGACATCCTTAAATGTCTCGGTACATCAGTCCTTCCAGTCTCTGACAGGCACGTGCTGCACTTCAGAGCCAGAAGGGCAGAAAGCTGGTTTTTTTTTCTTAATCTTGCTGAGAAAATGCCAAGCAGTGTATCAAAAATGTGCGTCTCTAAAGGGCTCGGTCAGCTTGGTGTTTTCATGCTGAGGTTCTCAAACATTGGTTCAGGAAGTATTGTGAGGGTGGAAAAAGAAATCCTGGAGTCCCAAGGATGGGTGGCCAGTAACTTTTAATTAATTGAAGTGATTTTACTTGGGGGAAGGCTCATGTGGAGTCTTGGAGGTGGGTGATGAGAAATAATTGGGCGTGCAACTTATCAGTTATGGTCTAGAGACAAGGAGAAAGGTGTCCAGGTCCGGAATCTGATGTGAACTTTCTTCTGGGATGATGTGGGTTTGGGGAACTGTGCCAGATCGTGAGATGCGTTTCAGGAACTAGAAACTGGTGGGAGCTGGTAGGATGATGAGTAGCAGCATCTCTGGTAAGTAGGTGCTGCTGGGGTTTCCTGGCACTTGGTGACCTCCTTGCCTGTGCCTGTTCCTGCAGCAAGCCCAGCACCTGAGCTCTGCAGTCCTCCTGGGAGCTGTGTGCTGTAGGCAGGAGCCAAATCTGCTCTGGTGAGGCTATGCTGACGCAGAACTAGTAAGTCCTCCTGGGTACAGCTGAATGTTTTTGCACTGTGCTCTCTAATAACAGCAACATATTATCCAGGTGTCTGTGCTGTTGAAAGAAAGTCAGATTCCCCCTGCTCCCTCAAGCCTGTTGGTTACAGAGAGTTCAGGATAAATGGCTCATAGGTTTGTGGAACTGGCATCAAAGCAGCTGGCATCTAATATAACACATGCAGGAGCTGGGTGTTCCTGTCCTAGAACATAAAATATTAGAGCTAGGACAAAAAAATAGCACTAAAATAGTCTTTTTCCTCGAATCATGCCAAAGCTAACCTGAAAAATTGTAATGTGGTGTACGATAACTTTTGCAATTTCTCAAGATTAAATTGATGGCAGTGATGTCCAAACTCTTTAAAGGTGTTCACACTGTGCACTTTTCTGTCTTGGTGAACAGAAGAGTCTCCCAGCAGGTCTGTTCTGCAGCTTAATTTTTATTCTGTTGCAAAGCTGGATTGGGCAGGTGAGTGTTCCCAGCTGTGCTGCAGGTGTTGCCCACCGCTGCTGCAGAGGATTTGGCTGTAGGTGAGCACAGACATTGTTTGACAGGATTGCAGGTGCCGGAGTTGGGACCTGAGCACCCACTCACAGGTGAGTGTGGCAGGACAGACTGTTCTGGGTGGAAAGGGGCCCCTGATGGCATCCTCTGAGGAGCTGCTCTGCAAGCCAAAACCAAGCCAAGCTCTTTTTTAAACTAGGTAATTACTAGGTACAGTAATAATTATGATATGCAATTAGGTGCTGTTATATACAGTGTATGCACTGTATGAGACATTGGGTGTGTAACAGTAGCCACATTAACACAGGAGAGGGAGAAGTTGGCTTTTAAAACCCAACTTATTTCACAAAATACTGTCACTGTCTGGTGGTAGTTCTTTGTTGTTACTATTCTGGTTCTCTAAAATTACTTTTATGGCCCAGACACTGTCCCCAGCTTGCTTGTCCTGAGACCCAGGTTCAGTCCTCACCTCAGCAAGCTGCACACAGTTGGATGCACTCAAACAGAAACAAAAAGCAGCCCCAGAGGGCAAAGCCTGAGCATTTGCCACAGGCAGGAACTGTTCCACTTGCTGTGGTCATCCCCAGCATTCTGCAATAGGCTGACTTATCCTCAGATAACATGTAAATTGTATCTGAGTCTTTTTCCTGCTTGGATGCTCTAGCGCTGCGGGTCAGAGCAGACCTGGGTGTTGCCAGAGTGCAGAGCTGGCCACTAGTGTGGCCCAGGCTCTGATGCTGCAGCATTGCACTGCTGGAGGGCAGCTGGATTCTGTAAGGGCACTCTGCCTGGGCTGCAGCCACCTGACTGGGGCTGCCAGGGACTTCTGCCAGCATTACCTTTGGACCTCTCTGGTAACAGAAATTACCAGGTTTGGGGGAAGGGCAGGCCCTTGGGGGTGTAAGGAAAAGGTCAGTCAGGGCAGTATCAAAGGCAAAGTTGAGGTTTGCAAAGAAGCCAGACTAAAAATACTTTTCTCATCTTGTCAGCTCAGCATGAGTCTGCGGCCCACCACCTGTGTGTGTTACTATCAGAGCAGATGCCAAGCATGAACACAGGCTGTGGGCTGGGTATGGATATGAAAGGCTGCTCCCAGCACCTGGGAGCACGTGCAAGGTTGTTTTGAGGCCCTCTGTATTGAAACACCTTACAAGGCTCCCCCTGGTTTGGAACATGTGCCAGCCACAAAGGGTGATCTTTGTCCTTTCTATCCTCTGGCAGGAACCTCGAGTGTGGCCAGAGCCTGGAGCGCGACGTTTGATGAAATCATAGGGCAGCACATTGAAAAATTTTGTAAAAAATACATGACGATGGATGCTCCCGGAGTGCTAGCAAAATACCCAGACATCTTTGCTGTGGTGATAATCATCATCCTAACAGGTGAGGCACTGGAGGAGTTTGTGGGTCTTGCACCTACTTCTTCCATAATCTCATTGTTTGCTTTTGGAATGAGCATGAAGTCCTGATTTATTTTGAATAACATATTAAAGACTTTCTTTGCTACAAGTGTTGGATTGACCTATATAGCTGCTGTGGAGTTAGCACAGGGCATAGCCTATTTACAAGGTTTTTAAATTAGAGGGGAGCATTCTCAGTATTCTTTGAGCCACTTTTAAAACCTTCAATCAAATTTTGTATAAGGACGAAAAGAAAAGATGACTTGTTATCCTCAATCAGGTATAGGAGTTTAATCCTTCCCTCCACAAATCCTATTACACAAGAATTTCATGCAGTTAGTCTATCAGCCTTATTCCCCCTTTGATAATCTGCCAGTTTTTGATGCCTTGAGCCAGGAAAGTGAGGGAAAGAAAGAAAGAGGACTTGGTTACAGTTTCATGTACTACTGTTTTAGTTTTGGGGTTTTTTTAAATATATATGGGCTTCAATTTGCAGAAGTGAATACAAGACTCCAGAGAAATAAATGTGTCACAGACAGTCCGCACCTCTTTTTTTCTTAAAAATGTGTCAAGCCTTTGTTCATAAATTGGAAAAGTCTTGACATCTGGCAAGATCAAAATTCTTCTGAATGTTTACCTCAACGCTAGCTGGGTCTTGCAAAGCATTACCAAGTTTAGGCAAATTTTAAAAATTATGCTTCTATACTCCTCTGTGGTTTCCAGCAGGCAGAAGCTGCAGTGTCACACTGGCAAGGTTATCCTGACATTTCCCACTCTGATCGGAACGGTCTTCTCACTGTGTGCTGTGCTCATGGGGACAGGCCTCAAGCAAGGGATGCTTTGGCATTTGGGTTTGCATTTGGATCTAGGACTGCATCGAGGGCTGCTGAAGCCAATAGCAGCCCTCTGTTTTCAGGATTACATCTGAATGGGAGAGATTTTTCCATTTGTTCACTTGTAAGTAATATGAATTGCTCTCATTTCAAATCAGAATCTGATCCTTCACTTCAGATACAATTTACAAAATTTAGACTTCCTTACTTTAGCACTGCTGAGGTATAAAATTACAAAGGTTACCTTATAATAAGGTGGCTTTATGCTCCTGCATGAAGCAAATTCCATGGATTTTAATAAAAAAGGCAAACCATTCTTTTCTAAAAAAAAGCTGCTGAAAGAACAGCTTTAGTCTCAAATACCATCACCACAAGTTTATTTCTGCTTGCACTTTCTTGAGCTTCAGATTTCTATAGAGTACCTTATAGATTTTGTGGGCTGGTATGCAGTCCTATCAAACACTCTTCTGAAATGGCTGTCTCAGCTTATTTCTTGCCTTAAAAGAAGGAAAGGTGAGTACATAGGATGCTCGTCTCTCATTGAAGTCCCTTGGAGTAGCAGTAAAAGAACACTGTGTTGTGCTTCTCTTCTCCCTCAGGCCTGTGTGAAATTTTTTTACTTCTCCTTCAGCCTTAGATTTGAGTTAAAAGTTTCAGTTCTTAACATTCAGAAACTTGAATAGGAAGTTAAGAGAGCTTGTCGACCTGAGAAGCCAAGCTATGCCTCAGTGAGATTTTGTTTGCCAAGGCCTGTAGCCATGCTCTTCTTCAGATGGATGATCTTAAGGCCAAGCTGCAATCCTTCTCTCACTGAACTCACTGGCAAATCTCTTGCTGATTAAGTGGGAGTAGGATTCCCGAGATGCCACCTTCTTCTTTGTCTTGAGCTCTAGAAGTAGCTATTAGAAGTAGAATCCTCCTGGATTTGGTCCCTGCTCATAAACAGAGGAACCCTGTTTCTAAGGAAAGTTGAGTGTTGTATATAACTTCTGCATTTCGCCAAGACCTCTAAGACAATGTTCCTTCATTGAAACCCACCTGTTGTGCTTTCTCCGGGTCTCTCTGTGGAGTTTGAGGCTGTAGGAGTAGTTTAAGTGTATTAGCAAAGCACTTTACCAGAGACACAGTCCACATGGGCATGCTGGGTGGGAGAGTGTGTCACATTCTGCAGAAATAATGTCAGAGCTGAAGTCCTCATCCTCCTTCTGGATAAGTGAATCCTCAGCTACTTGGCTTTATGAAGAAACGAGGTGTGATAATTTGGGCAGAGCACAGCATGAACACAGTTGAGCTATGTCTGTGGGTCTCCAGCACCTGCTGCTGGTGGTGAAATACCTGACCTATGCCATTTTTTCCCCAGGGCTTTTAGCTTTTGGTGTGAAAGAATCTGCCCTGGTGAATAAAGTGTTCACCTGCATCAACGTCCTTGTCCTTGGATTTGTCGTGATCTCCGGCTTTGTGAAAGGATCTGTTAAAAACTGGTACCTGACTGAACAGGACATTTACAACACCAGCCATAGCATTTTCAAAGACAAGTAGGTTGGATGTTTTCTTCTCATCTCAGAAGCTGGTGCATTTTCAAAAGCAAGTTTAAATGCGGGGTTGTGGGCTGAGTTAGAAAACCAGTGAATGGGATGGCTGCCTCCTTTGCCACATCCTTTGGAGGCAAAGCTGTTTTTGGCGTGTGTTTGCTGAAAGCAAGCTGTGCTGATGGGCTGCAAGTGCTAGGGGTAGGTTGTGTCACTGTGAGCCCTGCTGCGGGATTGACCATTTCTGGCCTTGTAACCAATATAGCACCCAAAGTTGAGACAAAAGAACTCTTTAGACAGTGTTCTGAAGGATCTACTCAAGTCTGCACCAGGCTGCCTCTGGTGCCTGTATGAAGCCATGTCCAAGTATAGCTGTGTACTTTCTTTGAATACTTGGGCAATATCCTTTTGGCATTGTTGTACCTTGTAGAGACCTTGTCCCAAATGCCTCAATAAAATGAAGGCAAGTTGCAGATTATTTTAATGCATTGCTACAAGCATATCATAAATCTGTTTTTAATGACATTTTGTTGTTGGCCAAAATCCTGTCATCCTACACAAGATCAAAATTAAGGAGCTTAGAAGGCTTATCAGTAAGACAAAGCTATTAATTTTTGCTTGAGACTGTACCATACAAAATAAGGACCTTTAAGTATCTCCATGTATATCAGGCCTTTTATGATGTCCTGCAAGGAAGCACAGTTGGGCAAAATTTGGTGAGATTCATAAATGTTGTGTGGGTCAAATTTATGTTGTGTAAAAGTTGCTTCTTGAGCCTCTTTTCAAAATTCAACCTGCTGCAAACAAATTGCTTCTGTAGCACCGGTCCCTTCTTCCCTCCTGCTATTCCCTTGCAAGGAGCAATTACTGCAAGAGTTTCAAAGTATGAGTGCAGCTCTTTGACCTGTATGACTTACTATTTTTGTAATATCTGTCTGGGGTTTATTTCATCATTATTTCCAGAGTGATCCACATCTGGGTTGTGCTATTTCTGTTGGCCAGGTTTCATCTAAGTCTCAACAGAGCTTCTGTGAGAGAGTTCAGATATTTATATGTGAGAAGACTAGCAGATTTGGGATTTAGTTTAGTTTAACTGCCTTAACTAATCTTTGCAAAGACTTTTCACTGAAAAAGTGACTTAAGTCATTTGAACTGTAGGGTGTGCTTGTTATGTCACTCAACACAAGGCACATGGATATGGGGTTGCAATCCAAAGTGTGCTGGGATCAGCCTGTGTTTGTTGACTTAAATGAACTTTGGTTAAGGCTCAGCAAAGCAGTTGGTGTGTCAGGGATCCAGGCTCCACTTCTCTCTCATGGTTACAGGCATGGTTTGAGTATGAGCTTGGCACACAGAATTTGAAAGATGATAATTGAAGATGAGGTGGATTTTAAACAATCATGGCACCGTGCATTCCTTTCTTATGTCTACTCACCTACCCTTTATCTGACTCCATCTAAAGTAAAAAGTGGATGGTTCACATGGTTCTCAGTCTTCACCTTTTCCAAAAGCTTCTGTTCAAATGAATATATGTGTCTACACACATGCAGTAATGTTAGGAGATTATTTTTAATATTCATGCTATTTTCCCTTGTCTTAGCCAAGACATTTTTATCCACCCCTCAGAAGAGGTGGTGGAAACAAACCATGAACCATTTTTATTCCATGCCTTCCCCAGGCTGTTGCAGGCCAGTCCAAAGCTCAGCAGTGGGTAGGGCTTAGCATTTTGACTGGCATGCTAGCATATGAAAGGGAGAGCCTGCTTATTCAAACTTTGGCTTTGGATTTTGTTATGAGCTGTGTGAATAGCTTTGTGACTCCCAGCTAGGCAGGATCACTTCTAACCCAGTGCCATGCCTTTCAGTCAAACACAGGAAGAAAAGCTCTACGGTGTTGGAGGGTTTATGCCCTATGGATGGAAAGGAGTCCTCTCAGGGGCAGCCACGTGTTTTTATGCTTTTGTGGGATTTGACTGTATTGCTACTACAGGTAAGAGGGAAGATGTCTTCATTCTGGTTATGAACCTGGCTGCCAGTAGATTGACTTTCAATAACATTGCAGAATACAGATAATAGGGAATTCAGGACAACACATTTGTCGTCCCTGTGAACCTCAGCTCAAAAATACACTTTTGGCTCAGCTGCTCCTAATGGTGAAAGTGCTGAATTTGTTCAAGTCCCTGAGTGCCTGAGTGCTGACTTCTAGCTGCTGTGGCACACGGATAAACTGTATAACCACGAACTTCCTCCCTTCTTTGCCTGCAGGGCCCAAGCTTGTGGATGGTCAGTGATGACACAACCAGGTCAGACTCCACAGAAAACATGTGCAGGTTTACCAGCTAGGCAAACAGGGAAGGCCCAGGTTCACATGTCTGGTATAAGTTTGAGCCTCTAACTTTAGATGATGCTTTAATCAATAGGTTATTCTGGAACAGAGTTCTTCAGTGCCTTCAGCTGAAGAAGCTCTGATGTCTTGGAGTATTTTAAAGATCCAGAGAAAGAGGAAGCCTCTGGGGAGTAAACTGCACCCTACAGCTGTGCTTCAGAATCAGAGATTTTACCTGTAAAGGTTAAGAGGTCTTGTTTTGAGAGAAGCCATCAGCATAGTCATATTTCTTGTGGCTAAGATGAATCTTAGAAGATGAATCTGAAGAAAGGATTATCCTTAATTTCACATTTGGCAAGAGCAGTTGGAGCAGAGGGAGAAGGGAATCATCACAGACAAATAAAGCGTTACTACGTCTTCTTCCAAGAAAGGAGTTGGAGAAGTGTTGGCTCCATTACTCCAGCCAGCCCTGGAGCCTCTCCTTGTGGGAGAAACATTCATCTGCTTTTAACTTGTAGGTGTATGGATCTATGTTTATCAGTTCATCCTGCTAAATGCAGGAGCTCTTGCTTTCAGAGCAGTTTTGTAGGACTAGGAAAGCTCAAATCTGTTCTGTAATTAATCAGTGCCTGAATTTTGAGGAATTTTGGGGTTTTTACACACATTTTTCCTACTTGGTTGTTGAAAATTTTCCATAAAAACTTTTGTTACGAGGCATTTTCAAATGTCCATATGACTTTCAGACACTGCCCTTCTCCAGAAATGGGCACCTATGGTGCCATGATCCTGGTGTATTAGTTTTGGGGGAGATGTAACTAAAATGGACATCCACGGATTTTCCCTACAACTGCACAATAATTTCTTGTTCCATCATCTGTGATCATTGAACTCTTCTTGGGTCTGCACCATCAGTAGGATAGAAGGAGTAGAATAGAAGGACGATCTGTTTTGGGAAAAGGATTATTTTAATCCAGATTGTTTCTGTGCCTGAGTTTACAAGGCTTCCACGAATGTGTGTCAGAAGTGTCAGGAGCAGCAGAAATGGGAGCAAACAGCCTGTGATATCCAAGTGGCAAGTGGATGGATCAGGCAGCATTGTGGTGAAAGAGCACCTCTGTACCCATGAAACCTTTGAAAGCCCCAGCCAGCACGCCTGCCCTAGGTTGGGATAAAGGTCTTGCTTGTCATTTAGCTGATATTTAAATTTCTTTCTTCTAGGTGAGGAGGTAAAAAACCCTCAGAAAGCCATTCCTATTGGCATTGTGGCATCTCTTCTCATCTGCTTCGTGGCTTATTTTGGCGTGTCGGCTGCCCTGACGCTCATGATGCCTTACTACCAGCTGGATACCAATAGCCCTTTACCAAATGCCTTTAAATACGTGGGTTGGGATGGAGCCAACTATGCAGTGGCTGTTGGTTCCTTGTGTGCACTTTCTACAAGGTAAGACACTGCTCTTCACTTCTGCATCCCTCAAGGTACATCTCTCATGTACCTCCATCTCCTTTAAGAAATGGAGCGGAGACCAGGGATGAAATTCAGAGCTACTGACCTCAAAAGGACCAGGATTTCACCCTGTGGTAGGTACCAGAGAAGCAGGTGACCAGTATCACTTCAGAAAATCCCATCTTAGCAGAAGACCCAGCAGGTGCATCTCAGGAATATAAATCTGGATTGAGTGACAAAGTCATGGAGGAAACTATGCAGTGCAAGAACAGTTTGGGTGCAGGACATCCTGGCCTGCTGGGTGGAGAGCAGACTTGTGTCAAGTGGTGCAGGGTGCACCTTCAGGAATACATGGGGCTTACCATATCCAAGGCCATCTGTCTGCAGGTTACCTGCAGGACAGCCATCTGTGTGGGAGACAGGGCACGCTGGAGGCAGAACTTGTCACCTCTTGAACTTGGAAGGCCTATTTCAGATCAACTTAGATGTACTCAATTAGGTGAGCAACTTACACAGGCTCATGGAAGTTACAGCTCTTTTACTGCCTGAAAGTCAGGCTGGTTTTATGTCCCATGGCTAAGTTTAGCTATCCAGAATCATATAGCTGCACCTCAGTTACCAGCTATCAGTAACGTGGGTGTTCAGTGGGAGCCCTTGAAGGAGAAGCTGAAGTGAATGAAACCCACCTGTTCTATAGTTACACTGCCATAAACTTGCTTTCACTTACGTGCCTGTGCTCAGCAGGAGATGATATAAGCAGATTATTTTTCCTTCCTGTGTCTGTAGTCTCCTTGGCTCCATGTTTCCAATGCCTCGAATAATTTATGCTATGGCAGAAGATGGACTTCTTTTTAAATTTTTGGCTAAAGTCAACGAGAAGAGAAAAACTCCCTTAATTGCAACAGTGACCTCAGGAGCTACTGCAGGTAAGATCCAAAGACTTGCAAAGATATGTGGAAAGGAGACATAAGCTCATCTTCAGGGCAGATAAGTCCGCCTGACTCTAGCCCACTTACTAATTGGATATACTGCGGAATATGGCATCCCAGAGGGTGTCCTGGATTTCCAGGGCATGCCCTGAAGAGTCTGGGTGAGCGTGAGCAGCTCACTGTGTGCTTGTCCCTCTTTCTCAGAGCTCATTGCTTGCAATCCTGTCTCATGCCAGGAACTACCTTTATCTGCTTAGCCAGCCTTGAAAGTAATTAACGCCCTGCAAGGCAGCAGCCAGCGGTGCCCCAGCATCCTCGTGGCTCTTGGCCTGTAGACACTGCACTGCCTGTCCACCTGTGGGTAGCAGCTCTGCAGAAGACACCAGAGCAGATGGCCCCTGTGGCATTGGCATTTGTTAATCAGTTAGTCACAGCTGGCAGCCATCCTGTTCTCCCCTTCTCCTGGCCCGCCAGAAATATGGGAATTAAACCTCCCGGACAGCAAGGATGAGCAGCTTACCCTGTTCTTGCAGCCACCCCCTTCCTCACGATGCCTGGCAAAGAGGAGAGTGGCCTTGCTGCTTCCTCTTTACCTTCTGCTGCAAATGCAGGATGAGCCGTGGGTACAAGAATGAGCCACCTTTGGTGGGGAGTTGCTGCCAGACTGCTGCCCTGGGCTCTGAGCTCCTGTGAAAGGGCTCAGCTCCTGCTGCTTGGACTTGCAGAGCCTCCTCACAGCCTCCTTCTCCCACACCTTCCTCTTCAGGTATTCTTGGGTCCAGACCATGGTAGGGTAGGAACAAGAGCAATATTAAAAAAAAAAAAAACCAAAAAAACCAGCTTTGTGGTCTCATCCAAGTGGTTCATAGTGCCTATGACCAAAACCCACACAACACTGCAGGGACAACATTTGCCAGCTGAGTTTGAAGGTTGGGCTGGTTATTGGGCTCCAGGTTGTACATTAAGGTTGAGAGGGGCCGGGTTGGCTCTGAGGTCCCTACACTCTCATATGGCTGTTGGTGCCACCTGATGTCTGACTGTGTGTCTTTTATCCACTTTGTCTTCTGAAAGCTCTATACAAATTCCTATACAACCAGGGTTACCTGGTGGGGGTGTGTAAGCAGGGTAATGCATAAGGAATGGCAGCCTTTTTCTGGAAATCCCTGTGATGACACCTGCTGCTTCAAGATGCCCTCTTTGATGCTTGGTCCCATTGCATGCACAAGCCTGATTGCAGCCCAGCTGAGCTGAGACACCAGGGCAAGGTGCTGCTCATCCTCTGTTGCCTCTAGCTACTTCCAGGAGATAACTGTGATTTTAGGAGTGCTGCAGCTGCACTGGGGGACTAAAATGAGGTTGTGGCTTAAACCCATGCTTTTTTTTGGTAGTTGGGTGAACATGGCTGTGTGAGACAAACAGGCTGGAATTCACTGTAGTAAGCATTTCCTATTGTTTCAGCTACTGAGGCTGGGACAGCCTGTGGAGTCTTAGGGTATTCATGCACCAGGGCCTACTTCTCCTTCTCTTGGGACATCTTAAGCTCCCCTTCCAAGTCCTGAGGAAGAGTCACATGTGTGCTACATCGATATTAACGCTGCTGAGATGTGCATGTTCTGCCATGTTGCTGATTTTTCTTCTCTCTTACCTTCCTCTCCTCCTACAGCTGTTATGGCCTTTCTCTTTGACTTGAAAGATCTTGTGGACCTCATGTCCATCGGGACCCTCCTGGCTTACTCCTTGGTAGCAGCCTGTGTGTTGGTACTGAGGTAAGAATGTAGAAGCTTTGTCTCTTCTGGCACACAGAGAATTCCACACAGCAGTCAGATGTCCTCATAGTTTCTATGGGCACATCTCCAGCTACAGGCATGTGAAGAGCTTGTTTCTTTAATTTCATGGGGGACTGTGTTAGTTGGATCTACAGGGAGGTCCTCTGAACTTGGTTAACCCTTGTTCCGTGCCAGTCCTGCTGTGGTGAACTCTAAATGCCCCAGGAGATATGCAAAGGGGTAGGGAGGAAAGATGTGTGATCCTGGATGCCTGTCTTGTCCCCACTCTTGTCCCCAGTGGGGATACCATTTCAGGTTGTCCTCCTTTTGAAAGGGGATTTGAGATGAAGTCTAATAGCAGGAAAGAACTGATCGTGTGTTTGCAGGATCAGTGTGTCTTTTAGAAGTGCTGAGCTCCCATAGCTTCCCAAACCTAAGCTAAAAATATTCAGCTCTTGGCACCTTCCAGACAACAGCACTCAATTAATGAAAAAAATATCTGAAGATCATGTTACTGAAAAGTACCTTTGTGTGTTGAATGACTTACTCAGAATCAGATGGAGGCTTTCACAGCAATTACACTGAACTAAGAACAGTCTTGAAGCAGGTGAAGGGCCAGTGCTGTTCTGTGGTACCATTGCTTTGTGTTTGTGCTCTGCTCCCTGCCCCTTGAAAATTCTTACCAATTTGCCTTATCTGTCTTAAGTTTCCTGATTTCCCAGCCTACTCTTTTCCTCAGAGCTAGAAATGGCTTTTTAATTTGTTTTTGCAAGCTGCTGTACCTATTGCATGACATTTCCCCCATCATGGGTTGGCAGAGGTGACAGCCTGTTTTGTAGTGACCTTGGCAGTGGATTTGTCTGCCTCTTGACTGCTTAATGATGTAGCAGCTGAATTGTTTCCAAAGCTGTAAGATCCTGCCACTAGTTTCTTGCTGTGGCTAGGCCCAAGGATTTCACTGCATTTCACAATTCTCAGTGTTTAACAAAGGCCTCATTGTGAACACATCCCCACAGGAACAGTTTTAAGGTGACCTTCATTGTGGCCCAGTCCTTTAGTCAGACTTGTGGCTGAGTAACTTGACAAAACCTTCTGTAACAGAGAGCTGAGGCTGGAAGAGTTTTTATTTATGGTTCCACATGGTTGTGTGTCACAGCCCTTTTGAATATGCTGTCCACACTTGCAACAACCATTCTTGCTTCAGCTCTTCCTTCCTTGTGTGGCAGCAGATAAGCTGGCAGAAGAGCCTGGGGTGGAGGGGTATGGAGCACCAGAAATGCTGCTGCAGGGTGTGATAGCTGCAGAGCTGTTAGCTCAGCCACCTCTGTGCCAAAATGCAAAAGCTGAACTGCCACAGGTGACACAATGGCCTGGTTATGACCATCGGTCTGTCCCTCTGCTGTTTGCTTCTCCTGTCACCCACTCATGTCTTGGTGACATGGATGACAGGGCTTGGGAAAGGGAGCACGGTCTGCTTTAGAACACTTACGTTAGAACCACGCTGTAGGTGATAAGAGCTGGCCATACTTGCTTAGATCATGATGACATCATTCCTCAAATTTCCCCTTCAAGCAGAAGGGTATAGACATGACGTGGGCCTGTTCTGGTGCTGTAAAGGTCTGGCATGTAGCCATTACTATCTGTGTGGCTTTTAAATGAGTGGTACCTTTATTTAAAAGCCAAACTAACAGGCTCTTTGTCATTTCCTTTCCCTAGGTACCAGCCAGAGCAGCCTAATTTGGCGTACCAGATGGCAAGGTCGACAGAGGAGACAGATAACAACGAGTCTGTGAGCACCAGTGAGTCACAGGCTGGGTTTCTGCCAGAGGAAGAGGAGAAGTTTTCCCTCAAAGCCATACTGTGTTCCACAGATTCAGATCCTTCCAAATTCTCTGGTTTGGTGGTGAACGTCTCAACCTTCATCTTAGGTAAGTGCTGGGCAGTGTGTCTCTGGGGCAGTGAGTCAGCTGGTAGGGCTTTGTACTCACCATGGTGGGAAAACTCATCTCCTTGATGTGATTTTGATGAGCTTTTGTAATGGCCAGAATAACTGAAGATTAAATTTTTGACTTAAAAAGAAATCTGCAGATGGAGTGTATGGGGGTGTATAGTGGGAAAGGCATTTCTGTTATGGTTAGGGTTTTTGTGAGTCGCTGTTTTGTTTGTGAGCTTTCAGATTCTGCTTTGCCTGCTTATGATTTGTTCTTGGGTTTTCCCTATACCTAAAAAGAAAATAAAAATCAGTAACCTTTGGTGTCTGTTCACAGGTTTCCTTATTGTGGGTATCTGTATCCTGACTTCCCTTGAGCCAAACATTCTGATAAACACTGTACAGATTATTGCGGCCATCCTTGTTGTCACTATCATCTTCATTATACGGAAACAGCCTGAAAGCAAAACCAAACTCTCCTTTAAGGTGAGTGTCCTGGGACATGTAGCTAGAAAAGAGGTGTCTGGGAGGTGGTTGGAGGAGGAAGTGCATGTGTTGTATCAGAAGGGGGACACTGGCCAAATGGATGTGCATAGACTATAAGCATGATGTCAGCTTTGCTATCCAGGAGAAGCTGGAAAGGCAGAACCTGCTGCAGTGGTGTGGCTGGAAGGGAAGGGCAGGACCCTGCCTTTGAAAGCACATGGTTATAGGATAGGGAACAGACAGACACTGGAAGAAAGGGGATGGTTGTGAAGGGCCACATCAGATCATGGATACAGAAGGAGAAAACACAAGAAGTAATCTTGTTTGCAAAGATCTAAGGCTCTAAGTGCACTTTCATGTCCTCCTTAGTCCCCATAGAGGCTAAGGGATGACCATTCTCTCTTAAACAACCTTAAGTATGAGGAACTCTGTAGTTTTCCTGCCCTCTCCAAGCACACCATCCTTTCTGTATTAAAGAAACACTGGGATGGGGTTTTTCTCCCAGCATAATCCTACAAAGCCATGCTTTGTCATATTGATTTCAGGTAGCTCTGCAATTTATTAAATTGATTTTGGGTTATAATTCCATCCTCTAAACTGCTTTCATTTGGATTGCTCTTCAATTAAAAATTTTCAGTAAATTCACAGATTTTAGTAACTTAATACAGCCAGTTTTCCAAGGTTGTGTTTGCAGCTCATTTTGGGGTAATGGTCCCAAAGGTGGAAACAGAAATGTCCAGGAGCAAAAAATGTATGCATTCTCACTAGATTGTATTTTCTGAACATACTTCTGAGGAGGTCTATTCACCTTTTGCTCAGGATATCTCACCTCTTTTTTTTTTCCCCTCAACCACTGTCCTGTCAAAGAAAAAGAAATTATACCTGACACAGCTAAATCTGTAATCATAAAATCATAGAATTTTGGTTGGAAAAGACCTTTAAGATCATCAAGTCCAACCATTAGCTCAGGGCTGCCAAATCCACCTCTAAACCATGTCCCTCAGTGCCACTCTACATGTCTTTTATACACCTCCAGGTATGATGATTGCACCACTTCCCTGGGTAGCCTGTTCCAATGCTTGACAACCTTGTTTCTTATCTCTTTACTGTTCTTTGGGCATTTACAACCTGCTGATGATTTTTCTCCAAAATCACTCTGGAAATCCAAGGCTGACCTGTTTGTTTCCCAGTTGTTTTACTGTATTTTTAACATGTAATTTTTCTCCCTTCCCCAGTCTTCAGAGACTTCACCCATCTACTAAGGGCTCTCAGAGTTGCTTATTTAATAGTTCAGAGATCACTTCTGCAATCTCTGGGTACATAACTCACCCACCTAGGGAAATTTTATTTGTCTCTACTGACTTGACAAAACCAACCCCAGAAAAATATTCTTCTTCTCTTTTCCAATTTGTGTGCCTATCCCCTCTGTCTAATGATGTGAGCAGCTACTTTACATAAATTTTTTTTGGCAAAGCTTAAATTAAGAAAGGCCACATTTCTGCCTGTTTGTTTTTGTAGATCTCCTTTTTCCCTTAGGAGTGAAGTTCACTTTCCACTTAATTTCACCATATTCAGAAACTTTTTTAGTATTATAATCTGCCTTGTTTGATTTTATATTTGCAATGCTATTTTCTGTATTCTTATTTTTGCATTTTGGCTTTGCTGTCTCATTCTTCTTTGATTCTCACACCACTAAGGCATTCTTGGTACCGCTATAGTCACCTCTTGCAGTATTTGCTGGTTTTCCTTGCTTTGGGATAATTTGCTCTCTATTGCTTCATTGCTTTGGTACCTGATGGGTGAAGTTCCTCAGGTCCCTCCTCTGACATTCCCCTTACCTTCTTCTCTTGGTCTTCAATAGGTGCTTGTCATGATACAGTCCTTGGTTTTTACTCTTCTCTCCTTTGCCCCACAAGTATTTAGTATTGCCACTAAAATTTGCCTCTTGCCTCCTTCTAGACCACAAAACAAGCTTTTAAAACAGGTGAACAGCATTGTTCACATCTGGCAGCTGAAGAGTTGGTAACAGCCATCATTTCCCATTTACAAGGGATGTGATGTTCGTTCCTGCTCATTAACTGTGCTTGTAGATGTAACATATCCCTTGTTCTTTCTCAGGTACCTTTTTTGCCCTTTCTTCCTGTTGGGAGTATTTTTGTGAATGTTTACCTCATGATGCAGCTAGATGCAGGCACGTGGATTCGGTTTGCAATCTGGATGCTCCTAGGTGAGTTTAAGTGAAAAACGCTATGTGCAAAGTTATAGATTTTGTTCACCATACATTTATTATAGCACTCCAGGAAGAGATTCTACACTCTGGTCATCCTTGGGCAACCCTGGTGACTTGACTGAAGCCCTTTAGTCAGCCTGTAACAAGCTTTGTTTCAAATTCAAGGGTCTTGAAGCCTTTGTGTGGACAAAACAATAACCCATGAACCATCTTATGGGTCTTGTTGCCAGCAGAAACCACAGAGCTTTCCTTGTTGGCTGGCCTTGCGCTGCTGTCCAGGTGGTGGAGCTTGTGCTTCTGGAGCTGAAGAAGCTGAGCTGCATCCCAAGATGCTCCCAGCAGCCACGTAGATAAGGCTGAATTGTCTGAAATGCTCAAATCAGGATCCCATTTGGGGCTGGGATAGATTGACTTTTAAAGACTGCTGCCTGTGTTAATGGCTTTTTTCCCCTAGAGAAGATAGTGGCTGTCTGCTAGAAGCTAACCATGAGGATGGCTGGACTTAGACTGGTGTAACTTGTGTCAGTGGCTGTGAGTAAAGGTTTCTGTTTCTTTACAGAGCTAACAGTGCCCTTTCCCTTGGCTTCCACAGGCTTTGTCATCTACTTTACCTATGGAATATGGCACAGTGTGGAAGCCAGCTACGCAGCCTCAGCAGAAGCGGAGAGAAACACAGACACTGGCTCAGACAGCTGTAAATGACTGTGTTTGACTTAAGGCGACTGAAAGAATGGCTGCAGTGAAAAAAACTTTGTGGTGGGGATCCTGAACCAGATTACACCTGTAATCAGTTATGCAGAAATAAGGAAGCAGAATGCAGGCCTCCCCAACTTGGTTACTGCAGCTTGCAGTTTGTTTAGCAGCACAGTTAAAAGGGACCACAGGATGAAAAGACACAACTCTGGCATATTCCCAGCAGCACTGGCAGCTCATCTGGGGTGCTTCCCTCTCTCCCTCTCCGGTTGTGTTTTTTTTTTCCCCAGTGTCTAGAAAGAGAACTGCTTCTGTGTGCAACTGCTGCTGCGAAACCAGGCCTCACAAATGTCCTTCTTTCAGTAGCCCCAGGAATTACCTCCCAACAGATATTCTACTCAATTTTACATGGAGCAGGTTTTGCAGTGCTACTGCCAGGCATAGACCAGTATCCATCCTTCACCCTATGTGAGCTGTACCCTCTGTGTATGCACACATACAAAAAAAAAAAAGGTTTTCACCAATCACTAGATTTCCCCAGGTTAACAAAGCACTGCAAGATTTGCATTCTTTAAAATATCAGGTCTTACCTTTTTTGTTTTTATTTAACTGGGTTTTTTAGCTACGTGCTCACATGCTTTAAAGCATGTCACTGCTGTGAAATGTTGGGAAGGTTTATGGTTGCTGCTTGTCAGGTGAGCGATCGCTCACCAGCTCACAGTAACACCAGCAGGTGTTTCTCCCGACTGTACACTCCACAGAGGAACTGCCAGCTTTAGTCAGGAAACCATGTCGTGCAAGTACTGCAAAGACTTGAAAACAATGGGTGTCTCCAAAGAGCAGTCCTGCCTCTTTGCCTCAGAAATCACCAGTGGTGTCGCTGTAGTGGGTGGGGGTGGCCAGCAGAACTGAGCTAGCTCTGACAGCGAGTGCAGCGAGTTCCTCCCCCCGCATCAGTCTTCCGTGCTGGCTGCCTGGCATTAGCAGCTTTGGTTTGGCATTGGTGGGTGGAGCACATTCCTGCCCTGGGAGGGAAGCACTGGAGAATCCTCAGAGGCATGAAGTTCTTACATGAGGAATGCCTGGTGTCAGCCACCTGCCCAGGGCATGCTGTGGGGGTGTGCGGGGACTTTTCAGTCCCGTCAGAGTGTGCAGCCCAGAAAACACCATCAAGCTCTAGGGTCTGACTTGCTGAGGGGAGCTTTGCCTTTGGGGCTGGAGATTGTCTCCAGAGCCTGCGGTAGTGAAAGGTGGGAAATTTGGAGTTGAGGGTCTGTATTTGATTGGCAATGCCTTGGTTTTGGCTGTAAGAAGATTTTTTTTTTGTTTTAATTCTCTCTAATAGCTTTCCCTAGCCAAATTAATCCACTACCCTAAAAAGGCTTATTAAAGCACCGTGAAGGTGAGCCATGCCCAAGTAATGCCACTGATCTAAATTTACGCTTCAGCCTGTACTGAAAAACAAATCATAGAATTGTGGAACAGTTTGGGTTGGAAAGGGACCTTTGAAGATCATCTGGTCCAGCTTACGTGACATCAGCAGGGACACCTTTAATTAGATCAGGTTGCTCAAAACCCTGTCCAGCCTGCTCTCAAACACTTCTGGGTTGGAGCATCCCAGATAAATACTGCAGGAATCCCCTTTCCCGATGTGAGGTGCTTTCCTAGGTGTCCTTCATACTACTGCCTCTGAACACTGGACAGTCTTTAATTGGTTTGTCAGCATGGCTCTTGCTGATGAAGCGACAGGCTCTTGCGCCTGTCATTGAGTTGGAGAACTGAACAGACTCGTACATGGCTTGCCCAGGATCTCACCAGGCATCTGATGCAGCAGAAAAGGGAATCAGACCATCTCCTGGATTTCATGGCTGGATTGTGGACCATTTCTCATGTCTCCAAGAGACTTGATAGCCTTTCTGCCCATTGAAGTGTTTTCATCTTTTAATTCTAGTACACGGGGAGGCTTTTCTTGACAGGATTGCAATTTGAGGAAGTGAAGGCAATGTGTTCACTGCCTCCTAGCTGCACTTCAGAGTGTGTTAGGAGTGCAGCTTCCCCCACAGAATGAAGTTGGGGGTCTGCTCCAGTCACTGGGTATTGACCATCTGCCAAGTCTTTGCTCCTTGTGCATATACAAAGTCTTACTCAAGCAGGGAGGGATTGATATAGAAATTAAAAGCCACTAAGTCAAAGTCTATTTTGTTTAAATACAGGCAAGCTCAACGCACTCCACAGCCTCCCAAAAGACACTGAAAATGTGGGAGGGCAACAAGATGAAAACTCAGACAGGATCAAAGTTTTGTATTGTACTAAAAATATAAGGATGTTTTTCCTACCTGGCTACCAGCTTCTGTTCAGTGAAAACATGAAGCTTATGTCCTTACCAAAGCTTCATCTGTGCTGAGCAAGCCAAGGGCCTGGTGAAAAATCTTTCAGAAGGATGTTGTCAGGCATGTTCCCGAGGTAGGGTATGACCCGGTCCCTTTTTAATCCTTGTGGCAAAGCCTGAGCAGCTCTGTGGCTCTCAGCAGGAGGGCAGGCTGAAGGGGGCAGGAGTTGGGGTGTTGAAACTGAGTGAACTGGAACATTGGGGAGTTCAGGTGTTTGCTGATGAGCCTGAACCACTGGCAGAAGCGTTCCTGTTACCACGTGCTGCAGCATAACTCCTTTATGGAAACATTGCAGACGACAATCACTGTTCTGGCAGCCACAGTCATATTGGAATTATCCTAGAAAATGAGTCCATGGAAACTCATAGCATTTGAGCCACTGTCAGGTAAGGCAGCTGACCAGCCCTGCTGCCAGGAAGCTAATGACTAGCTTCTGTCTTTACCTTAATGGGGTAACCCTCTAATGGGCTTTGCTTTGTTTCCCATTCATCCCAGTTTCTGTGTACACAGAAAACACGGCAGGACATGCTGGTTTGTATCCGTCAGCCCACAGGTGCACTGGCGCACAGATTTATTATCAGGAATATATTACACTTATCTGTACATCATAATTGAAATAATACAAACTCTTCCTGTAATCATTAGCCACATAATAAACCGGACCACAGAACTCCTGCTGCATGGGAAACTGTACAGAGGCTCCTCAGAGTGTCCATGGGACACAACCACCATCAGTGCAGAGACAAAATACCTGATTTTGCACTTGATAGTTTTTCCTTTTCTCCCCCCGCCTGCCAACACCACAAGCCTTTGCTGCTGTGCATCAAGTGAGTCAACCCATCTGTGCCAGCAGTCACTGGAGGTGCAATCCCAGCAGGGACAAATGGTAACTTCCCACAATGAAAAGGAATTTCCCATGCCCCGCTCGCTGCTGGCTCTTCTGCCATCCCATGGCTGATACATCTGCTCCCAGTGCCCATCTCTGGAACCCCCTGGGAGCAGCTGTAGCTGGTTTTATTGCTGCTACACCCTTCTGCATTGAGTAAAGATTAACGAAACCAAACAGCTTCCTTAAAGACAGAGGTGATGAAATTCTTTCTGCTTAGTGCTAGCTACATTCCCTCTGCTGCCAAAGGCCATCCTATTTCAAATGGGAAAGTCCCCACAGTGGCCATGGCATTCAGGAAGTTTCCAGCCCTGCAAAAGCAAACACTTCCCCTTCCCAGCTTGGCCCTGCATCCAGGGATCTCCATTCCCTGGGAATGGCTGCCCCATTCAGGGGCTGCTCCCTTCCTCCCACTGTCCGAGTGACCTGGGCTATTCTTTTGCACCTACTTCAGCATGCAGAGGCAAAGAAAGATAGGACAGAGGAAAAGTATAAAAAAGGAATAACCTTTTTTTGGGGAAAAAAGTCTCTTTCTGGGCTTGCACCAGAAAGAGCCACTCTTCACACCCCCCACGGGGACAGGTTGCTGGGTCCTTCTGGTTAGGCAGAACTTCCTGCAGTTTTGCTAGCAATTGGGCAGGCCCCAGAGGGTGTGCCAAGAAGAATCCAGTGAGAGGCAGGATTGGGAGGCAAAATTAGATGGGAAAGGGATTGGCAATGATAACAAATGCCGATGGAGCTAGGCTCAGTCCCAGTTTTCCCACCGTAAAAGCCCTACTCCCAATTCACTGCTGGAAGCATCTCTTGAATATGATGTTAAACCAACAAAGTGATAAGGAAAGCACCAGATATAAAGGGGAAAGATTAATAAATTACAACAGATTCAGCCATCCTGTCCTGGGCCAAGAATATGCTTTAGTGCATTTAAAGTTTTGAGTAGCATCAAGATAACAACTCCAGTGGTATCATCTCAACCATTTTTACAAAGGGAAAAAGGAGAATCCTAGAAACTACCAACAAGCCACTCTGACTAATCTGATGGCCCTCTGCAATGGTGTGACTGTGTTGGTGAGTGAGGGATGAGCAACTGATGTCATTTACCTGGACTCTGCAGGGCCTTTGACATAGTCCCACACAGCATCCTAAATTGGGGAGATACTTCAGTAAGAAGTGGTGCCCCTCAGGGGTCAGTATTGGGACCGATATGTAAGATATTACTGTGTAATAGCTTAAATTATGCAGACAGTGGGATCAGGTGCATCCACAGCAAGTCTGTGGGTTGACACCAAGGTGAGTTGGTGCACTGGAAGGAGGGGATGCCATCCAGGGGGATCTGGACGTGCTTGAGAGGTGGGGCCATGTGAACATCATGAGGTTCAGTAACACCAAGTGCAAGGTCCTGCACCTAGGTCAGGGCAACCCTTGGTATGAATACAGGCTGGGGGATAAAGGTATTGAAAACAGCACTGCTGAGAAGGACTTGGGAATACTGCTGGATGAGAAGCTGGACATGAACCAACATTGGTTGCTCAAAGCCCAGAAAGTCACTTATGTCCTGGGCTGCATCCAAAGCAGCATGGCCAGCAGGGCAAGGGGGGCATTCTGCCCTTCTACTCTGCTCTTGTGAGAACCAGCCTGGAGTGCTGCATCCAGCTCTGGGGGTAAGAAGGACATGGACTTCTTGGAGTGGGTCTAGAGGAGTGCCACAAAGATCTTAGAGGGCTAGAGCACCTTTTCTATGGAGACAGGCCAAGACACTTGGAGTTGTTCAGCCTGGAGAAGACTTAGGGGAGATCTTTTAGCAGCCTTCCAGAACCTCAAGGGGGCCTATAAGAAAAATGGAGAGAGACTTTTTACCAGGGCCTGTAGTGATTGACAAGGGACAACAATTTTAAACTGGAAGAGGATAGATTTAGATTGGACATAAGGAAAAGAATTTTTACAATGAGAGTGGTAGGAAACTGGAATAGGTTGCCCAGAGAAGTTGTGGATACCCCATTCCTGGAAGTGTTCTAGGCCAGGCTGGATGAAGCTCTGAGCAACCTGGTCTAGTGGAAAGTGTCCCTGCTCATGGCAGTGGGGGCTGGACTAGACAGTCATAAAGTTCCCTTGTAGCCCAAATCACCCTCTGAGTCTGTGATCTCACTGTCTCAGAATTCTGTTGGTGGAATGGAAGATGACAGTGCTGTAGGTGTTGCAAATAGCTGTTACCAAGTGTCAAAATGATTAAAGTCATACATGGCAAGAAGGGTCTTTGTGTGCATGTGCGTGCTATTTATCTATCTTTCATGTTGTTCTTGCTGGACACACTAAAATCTAGCAATGCATTTCAACAGTAGTAGCTGGTGTGGCATGATCTATTCTAAGAAGATGCTCAATTTACTCAGTATCACAGCACCATGCAAAAGCTGCTACAAAAATAAATTTCTCTAAAAAGGAGAAAAAAAAATCATCTTTCTTTTTAACACTGTGGAACAGGCCACAGGTGCTTTGATAGTGGTTGAAGCTGTATCTAAGCTGCAGTCTGTGAATCCTGAGTATTTCCCAGGAAAGCTGAAGCACAGCTCCCACTTGAGCAGGATGGCAGGGCTGTGCAATGCCACCCTCCCTGCAGCACGCCTGCACCTCAGGGATTTCCTCCAGGTACTGTCGCCCTGCTAACTTGGACCCCAGTGCACAGAGCAGGCCTGCAGGCAAGCTCTTTGCCCTAAGCTGGGTAGAAAAGCATCCCACAGATCTCTTTGTTTTTTGAATTATGCTCAGGGATATTTTTATCTTGTTAGCAATGCCCATGAGGGCCCTGCAGAGAGTCTCACCCCAACTACCCCTTGGTCTCACCATCCCCTCAGGTGGGAGATCACCCCAAGCCTGGGTGAACATTTTTGCTTCTAGATGGGAAAGTTAAAGGTAGTTTAGCCACTCATTTGCATGAATCTTCAAAGTGCTCTGTAACTCTGGGTAAGCTGTAGCAATGTGAAATAATGCAGATTTGTGGGAGGAACAAAATTCTGGCTTCATCTGCACCTATGAAGTTGGCTATGCTCTATTTGGCATTTGAGGTGGAAGGAAGCTAGAGCCCTAGCAGATGCCCAGTATCTCATCTTACTATTGGAAACCTCTCATCCAGCAAATGTCAAGGATAAGCAAATTATTTTCTCCTTCTTGCTTCTGGGGCTTGAAATAAAACAAAATGGACAGAAATCTACAGCCAGAGATTTCGCTTGCATCCTAACCACGACAAGGTAAAACAAGATAAGATCTGACTGGGATTGAAATAAAGACACTAAAATTGAACCATGTTAACCAGTAACCTCTACCAAATTTGCTAAAACTCTCAGTTTTCTCATCTCTAGCCTATCTCCACTTACAATATCAATGCTAAGAGTTAAAAAGCAGTGGATGGTATGCATAACTTTTCTGGTGTTCAATGCAAAGGTGATGGTTTTGAAGGCAGTACTGTCTTAGAATTTCAAATTCGCTGGTGTTCATGTAACATAGAGTACCACTTGGTGGTCACTTGGAAGGCGCTTCTACTTCTGTGTAACTTTCTTCTAGGTTGGGTATAAATAATTCCTGGGAGGCTAAACAGAAATGCATTTTGTTTAAATACAAGTCTTAGGCACGAGTTAGAAAACTGCTGACTGTAATGAAAATATATCAGCACTTAGTAGTATCCAATAATATAAAAAATGTAATTCAGAACATCTGCAACTACATATATATGTGTGTGCGTCTATATATAGGTATAAAGGTACAATACATACATGTATATAAACACAGACACATATACAGAAATATTCACACAATTTGCAACTAACCTGAAATACTGCAGCAAAAGTTCATTCTGATGAACCATTAATAGAGCATTTCCCAACTTTTGGCTCTAACCATAGTTAAAACGTTCACACATCAAACTAAACCTTTTGCTATCCTAACTTTCTGCTCTTCTAGTTCTTGGCTATCTTTTTTGCTACCCTAATCAACATGTCAGAACCAAGGATTTCTGTATGGGGACTGTAAGAGTACCCTGCCTAGTGTAAAGCTGTGCAGCTACTGAACATGCTTGCAGCCATGAACCCTGGGCGCCTGTTGATGGTAGTACTTCCTTGGATGGTAACAATTTGCAGACTGGAAATGCATAAAAGGCAGGGAACCTTGGGCACACAGCTGCCAATTCATCGCCTCAAGGTTCTGACTTTTGCTGGAGAGGAGTTCCCTGATGAGCAGCGATAAAAAGGAGTGGATGCTGCGGGCGGGAGTTTGACGGGGCTCACGGCATCTCCCTCCTGCAGCTTCCAGAGCAGCTCCTCGTTAGTCCTGCTGAGCTTCTTCTTCTCCTCCACTTCTTTCTCAACGTATTCTTGAAGATTTGCATTCTCCTCTGAGAGTTGCCTGGAGAGAGAAGTAGGATGACATATAAGGCACTCCAGGGCAAAGATGGTGGCATTCCTGCAGGCACCCCTTGCCCCTAGGGCTGAGCTGTCAAAGCTGGGGCACAGCTGTCCCCAGATCTCTTCGGTGCTGGGTGAGAAAGTCATCTCCACAAGTCATAGCTTCCCCCCAGTGTCTGATTCTGCTTCCAGATGCAGCTGTGTCTTTGCTGTACACCTCTCTGAGGCATCTCGGCTGCCAAAGCTTAGGTGGGATGAGCCCCAGCCTTTCTCCCTGGCCTTGTGGAGTGTCAGAGTAAGTGCAAAGAGGGGTGACAGCATTTGCATCCATGATTTTTTCAACTTGCTGCTACAGTATGCAAAGGAAGAGCAGTCTGGCCTTTCCATGCTCTGAATTCCAGCTGATGTCCTGATGCAGGACACAGCTCAGCTTCAAGGCTTTCCCTCTACTCTGTAAAAGGTCATGAGGTTATGCATCCTTCTCTAGCTCCTTCCTCCTTGGTCCCAAAGTAGCCTCTATTCCTGACTGCAACATTAGAGAAACTTCACCAGTAACGATCAGGGAGGTGTTCTCCCCAGAATGCCCAGTAACTTCATGGCTTTTCTGGAGCTGGGGCGTGGAAATCTCCTATAGGCACCACAGCCTTAGTGAGTCTGCACTCATCAGCCAGGTGGTGACTGGTTTTGAAATAAATGGGGCAGGGCAAGTAGACTGTGGGACCTGATCCAGACGTGTTTTGGGCATGTGCTGACAGCACCTATGTCCCAAAGGATGCATGCAGGAACACCAGGCTTCTGCAGCCCCACTACGCTTGAGCAAGAGCCAGCTCCTCATGTGATCAACCTGTGGCAGCTCTGGGCAGGCACCTAACCTGATTTACTGGCAATTTGGGGTTTTATAGGAATTAGCAGGGAGGAGCCCAACCTTCCCGTAGGCGTTTTCAGGGTTCAGCAGCAGCTGGGTGTGGATTTTGGCCGCATACAAAAAATTCTGTACAATTGCTTTTCTGGGTGTAGCCTGAAGGCTGTAGCAGATGTCATGGACTGCTGGTCCACTTACCAGAAGTCTATGAGAGGGTGGGGTTGGAGAAAAAAAGACGTTTTTTTAAAGACATTTTTTAAGAATTTTTGCTTTTTTAGCCTCAATTCCTACAAAAATGTAGCTCAGGTAATTAAGAATACGTCTCTTTCTTCTCCCAGTCCCTGAAAGTTCTGAAATGTGAAGTGAGCAGTGGCAAGCAGAGTCACCTTGAACTCTTGGCTGTTGGAAACTATCATTCTTCAGACATCCCCAGTCCAAAGGACCAAAAAAAATGCTGGTTGATTTGGAGGGAGGATCTGAAGTGCTGGGAGATCAGATCATTTACTCATGTTCTTGGGGAAGTCCCAGCAGGGGCTCTGTGGAGCTCTCACATCCAAAACTGGGTCATGATCTACCTGAAAGGCTCTTGTCCTTCCCTTTGTACCTGCCCTTGTCCTTAATTGGAAATATCTCTGCAGTGCACCCCTCACACCCCAGTGCCTCTGGGAGCCCTCCTGATGCTCCTGCAGAGGCTGGCTTTGCTGTTTCCCCTCCCTTCTCTCACTGCTGCTGGGCTGCCACATCTGCTGGGGCACCCAGACTGCAGAAATAGCTCTAATCCAGTGCAGCTCCCTGAGCTCGTTCATGCTGTGCTTCCCAGGCAGGGCCAGTACTACAGAAATCAGCATCAGGGTGGTTACTGCTGCTGGGGAAATGCCTGCTTTAATAACTCCAACTTTAAAGCCCTGGCTGTCCCTGTAGCTGCCCCACAGCTGTCCCCAAAGAGTTACTTGTTGAAAATTATTCTCCTCCAAGCTGACTTCGAATTCAGAATTTCTCCTAAAAGGTGTTTTTGAAAGCAGTACCTATGCAGCTGCAGGCAACAAGCAAAGTGCTGTGGCTGGATGCCAGCAGGGAGTGGAGGGAGAGTGCTGCTCTCCCAGCCACAGACAGGGAGCTGCAATGCAGAGATGCCAAGTGCTGAAGCAGGCACCCTGGCTGCTGCCAGGCGTGGAGAGAGACTGCCACTTCCAGGCCACAATTCACCCAGCCCAAAAGCAGGCATCTCAAACTGGTGGGGTGAACCAGACCTTAAAAATACCCAGTTTTCTTCCCCCAGCACAGAAATGCTGTAGCCATCCACCTCAGACAGTGAGACGTGTACTACAGGTATTTACAATTGGGTGAGGGAAAATATAGTTCTCACCCCAATCTGAATGTTAGAATATCTGCACGCTGAAGACAATTTCAAAAGGCTGAATCACTAAGAAATGAGGCATGAGAAAGACAAAAACTAAAATCAGGGATGAGACACTGACAGTTTAAAAAATCTGCTAAAAATTAAATTTTTGGCCAGTGGCATCATTTCTGGATGCCATGACAGCTAGGTAGCTGTGGTGCTGGGACAGGACCAGCTCTAGTTTCACTCTCTGACACCCCTTTTCCCTGGCTCCAGCTGTGGTCTCCAGCCTTACAGCATGATATAAACTCTCTGGGACAGGGACTATCCTACCCTGCTTTTTATGTCACCTAACAAGGAGCTTTGTCACCCTTGTCCCATTGTGACAAGGTTGCAAAAAGGCAGTGCTGATGAAAAAAACCTGCCAAAGGTTAATCCTGCCTGGGTGACAATGTCATCCTTAGGATGTCTTTCCCCGGATTTTTCCATTTTGCATCCTCATTACCCACTGACTAACAGGTCTCAGGGCACTGATACTGAGATCAGAATGATTGGCAAGCTTGCTCTCAGCAGCATATCAAAATCATGGAAATACACAGACAGATACATGGCCTTATATATATATATATATACATATATATATATACATATATATATATATTTTTTTTTTTTTTTAAATAAAACAAGCAGACTAGAGCACAAATACATTTTCAGGAGGAAATAAATTTTTCCCCTTCTGAAATAAGTGCAATAAGTGTCAGCCTTGGACAATTAAGACCTGTGGACTCCTTTCAAGCTCAGACAGATTGCAAATACCAGCACAAACCTTGTTATGACAGTATTTTGCTCAATCCTGGCTCTGAGTTCTTCATTCTGCTGTTGCAGCATGGTGATTTTTTCTTCCAGTTTTAAATTTTTTTCAACCTGCAGCAAAAGAAGGTTTGTTAAATCTGAAGAACACTCAGCACCTGATACAAGATAATTTGTTCTATATTAATCTGTGGAGCAACTTCTAAAATTTGAGGATGGGTGGAGGTGGTTTTCTTGACTGCAGCTGAGACACAGAGATCTGACTCACACCACATCATGCTGGTGGAGTACCTGGGGCCATCAGCAGAGCACCGAGCAGGGGCAGAGCTGAACCAGCCCTTACTTATAACTGAGCAGGAGGAGGAGGGTCTCAGTTTTGTTCAGTGCAAACAGATGTTTTCCTCAGTGGTGCCCCACAGCTTTTGTCCCCCAGGGAGCCAGCATTACCAGAGGTTGGAGAAAGTGCTGGTGACACCTGAGGACCACCCAGCACAGAACGTTGCCCAGCACTGTGGTACGAATGGTCAGTCCAGTGATGAAGGAGGAGTGCAAGATGGGATGATGTACATCTTCCAGACATTACAGTCTGACATCCAGCCTCCAGGATTATGATTCCTCAGGTATGGAGAGGAAAGAGTCACCCACCAGGGCAGATGATGCCCAGCAGCAGCCTTAGAGTGTGCTGCATTCTCATGAGGTGGACTGGCCTCTGAAGACTCTCCTCACTGCTGCTGACAATGTCAGCTTAAGTGACAGGCTTAAACCAGACATTTAACTTTAAGCTGTAAGTAATTGAAATTAATCCTATCCCAAGCACAGGTAGCTTTTATTCAGCACAGTTCAAGGGCAGAATTTGAGGACATAGTAGCAGTGTATTAGTAAGATGTTTACAGGCATGTCCCACAGCCTCAGGTACCCTGTTTTCCCCAAGCTTTGAATTTGACATACTTTATCACCTTAGTCCTTGGTTTTCCAGCTGAAAATTTTGCTGAATTCAACACTTTTGAAAGAAAACAAGATAGCACAGGGTAACCTTATCTCTGTGTGAACTTGATTATTGAATTTCCCAACCTTTTATAAAGATCCAAAATACTGTGCACTGGGGATAGCAATAACTCACGCTTAATGGTGGAGACATCAGTTTTAGGTTGTGTTTTCTGGTCTGTGCAGGTAATTGTAAAGTATACTCCTGATTCTCAGATATTCTGGTCTGTCCCCGTATATTTTGTTAGAGCAGCACATGGATTCTGTCCCTGTTTTGAAATGCTCAGAGAGAGGAATCACCATCACAGGCTCACTCTCTGCTTCTTCAATAGTTTTCACAAGTAGTAGCTATGCCACCTTCATTTCCAGCCTCCCTTTCAGCTGCCAAGGAGCCAAGGGTGACCCTGTGTTTGAAATGCCCTCTTGCTCCCTTGGGAGGCATTTGGAGGTGTCCTGCAGGTGTTCTGGCACTTGCAAAGATGTATCTTGAAATGGAAAGCAGCTGTGCCTTTGGGCCACAGCAGACCCAGTGTGTTACTGTGATAAAGGGCAGGAACAGGACTGTGCACTCGTATGCAGTTAATGAGCAAAAGCAGCTAAAGGACCAGGAGTTATATAGGCTGTTCTTTGGGATTTTTTCCCCCCAGTGTTTCCAAATCCTGGCTTGGCTCCAAGAGTAGCACATTGGAAGGAGCAGAGATAATAAGCCTCAGTTGCAAAGAGGCACTTTTCTCTGCATCCACTTACTAAAGCATCTGTTCAGCAAAATAATCACCAGAGTTCTCAAATTTCCCTGTAAATGGAAACAAATCTTACTGAATGCTGTGCTGAACCAGCTGCCACAGCTCCCAGCTGAGGTATTGCCTCATCCTGTCACCACACTGTTTTACTGTCACTGCAGGTTATGCTGTACAAAATGAATCCCCTTTCCCACAAAAAATGTAATTGATGGCGAACTGGGGAGTTCTTCATTAAGGAATCCCACAAGCAAAGGAGTAGAAAACAGCATAGCCTGCAGAAAAGCATGACTGGAGGGCTGGAGAGAGCTCCTCTAGAGTAAGCCTTGCTAGGGCCTGCTTGCTGAGTGTTGCTAATCCACACATGACTCCCTAAATGCCTGCAGGAGCAGCAGCAAGACACACCATGGCTCAATCTTCCCCCACGTGTCCTCTCCAGCCCTAAAAGGCTGCCTGATTCCTGTAGGGGCATATGTGCAGGCTGGTGTACCCTGGGCTGCCATAAATTTCCCTTTCCCCATTCTTCCTTCACCACTCACCTTGCATGTCACCTAACATGCTGAGCAGGTACTGTATGAAGAAGCAACCCAGATTGATGCATGTGAACCTCTTTGACTGTGTCTTGCCCCAATTTCATGTGGGTTCTCCCCTCTCTTAAGTTCATCTGCTGTAACCAAACTTCTCCAGTATTACCTCTGTGATGTATTACAGAGGTAATACAAACTTCTCCAGTATTACCTTCTCCTCTGTAGGAAAAATGACAACTCACCTGTTTTTCTAGCTCCATAATCATCTTCTCCTGCTGGTGAATCTGGAGGTTCTTCATTTCCAGAACATGTTTTAAGCTCTTCAAATCTTTTTCTAAGTGTAGATACGGAGCTCGCACAATCTAGGAAATATATCAGGGATTTGTATATGTCAGCCATACATACATCTTCAGCCATAAGAGACCTTCATGTAACCCTGTGGCTTAGGAGAATCAGTGGTTTGAAAACTACCTGGAACTCTGCAGCCCATTTGACCCCTGATATTGTCTCCCCTTTGGCTAAGATTCTTCCTCAGAGCTCAGTATTCAGGGTCTCAGCTGGGACTTGCCCCCTGCCCCTGGAGTGAGAATCCAATTGCTTTTCATTATATCAGGTGATGTGTAACACTTAGGAACATGTATCTTGATGCCTGTATAGTAAGAGTTGTCATCTACCTTCAGCTGTTCCTCAGTGTTTTTCTTCAGAGCCTCTTCAAACCGGTCTGCTTTGGCCTTAAGAGATTGATTCTGGAAGGTGAGGGTGTCTATCTGGTCCTGGGGGGGGAAACACACCAATTCACACATCAGCTGTGTTATCAGCACACTCACATTCATCCTGGTCAGTCTGCACTGCCAAACCAGACAGTGGTTTATCAGGGAAGCTAAATAAGGCTTAGACACCCCTGTAAGTTGATATTTTTTTTATGTCAGGCCACTTTGAAATAGAAGGGGTATTTGATAAGCCTCAGGGAATCACAAAATCCCTGTGACACCTGTGGCTGATGCTAAATCACCCCATCACTTTGTGCTGGATGAGAACAGACATGCCCTTCCTTGGAAGAGCTGGCATTTATATCACATGCATTTGTGTGGTCCTTAGAGTCCAAATGAGGCAGGAGATACCTGTTTTCTTCCTCTCTCTAAGCTTCTAACATGGTAACACGCAATGATGAGTTAGTGGTGTGGAATTTATATGATCATAATTTCATCTCAGAGCTATATATGGGAACAACATGTTATTTTAGACAATCATATTTTTGTTACCATCAAAGGCATTTCTGTCTATACCACACCTGTAAAATCCACAGTTGCTGTGAAGATGGTATTTTTATCTTTCACAGTTATGATTTCTTGTCTGGAACATTACATCAGCCCTTATTGCAAAACTGCTGACATGCCTCGAGCTGTCGCAGCAGTGCAACAATATGTGCTAGTCAGGGGGTTTAAAAATTGCAATTCATCTCTGCCTGTGAAATCAAACAGGGCTTGCATTAATTGCTCTGGCATCTTTACTTGTTCACACATTTCCAACCTTAGCTTGTGTCACAGGGGCGCAGTTCTGCCCTCCACTCCTTGAGATTTCTTCATCTAGGGAGTGAGAACAGCATGGAGTTTTTAGAAGGATTAGACGATTTTGGCCTTGGTGTTAAACAGTGGGATGTGGGAACTGCGATGAGCAGGGCTGACCCTGGCCATCCACAGCCTGGCTGCACAGCAGGGCCAGCCCTGGGGCAGCCCGCACCAGGGACTGCACTGCCCTCTGGTGCGACTGGAGATGTGTCTACAGCATGGGACCGGCTTTCCCACCTTCAGGCAGCAGGGAGGAGGTTAAAGACAGAGGCACACGGCCAGACTGGGAGATGTCACCGTTTCTGAGCCCTGGGGGTGCCACCTGGCAGGTACCATGCAGACAGGGTGATGCTCACAGCCACTGCAGGTGCCAGAGTCCCCCCCATAGAGCAGGGAAGAGCTCAAATTCACCAGCAGACAGCAGGGTCAAAAAGACATTTTTTTCTTTATCCAGATGACTTTAAGACCTTTTAAGTTTTCTCTCTCTTGCGAACCAGCCCAGGGGGAGGAGAAATCCCGAGGGTTTGCTGCTCTATCCCAGTTTGGACAGGCAGAGCACAGGAGGCACCAGGGCTGGTAAGAGCCTGGTGTGCTGGCAGCGGGCAACATGTCCAGGGCTGCCATCAGCTGCTCCCCTGCACCATTACAGGGTGGGAAATAAAGAAACTGCTAACCTGGAGCGACAGACGCAGCTTTTCAAATGTCTCCTCTAGTTGTGCCTTTTCCAGTTTGTGAGCAGTATTCAGTTCTGGAGAGGTTACACAGACATGACATTACTGAGTGAAGTCCAGCAAACCAGGGTCGGAGAGCACACATGTTGTGAGCCAAGTGCAATTTGGGACGCAGTTTTAGGACATGGAATAGGAAACTGGTAGCAATATGCAATATGTGACCTTAGGTAAATTGCTCTGAAAATCAGAGTTTCCTGATCTTTCACTGATTGCAGGTACCTCTGTTTCTATGTGACCAGATTCTGATTTTTCAGACATGCTCAGAATTCTCAGCTCCCAGGCACTCTGATCTGGAAAGGGTTACTCTGACAATGGGCTATTTGCCAGTTCAGAGTGAGAATCCCTAGATCAAAGGATTTAAAATTGGATGCATTTAAAAGCTTGGGTTGCAATTTCTTTGGGGGGATAGAGAGGAGGGCCACCACCTGAGATGCAAAAATACAAATGACAGTGCTTCTCCCCAAGCTCTGGTAGATGAGCTAAGAGGTTTATTCCAGTAGTGACACAAAAAAGACAAAACACTTGATTAAAGGTTTTTCTGCTAGAATAACTCACCCTGGGCATACTAAACCAAAAGTTTAATAAACAAAGTGAAATAAAGTTTAATCTCTAAAGCAATGGCATCAAATCATCATTCAGTGGAGTAGTAGCAGCTGCCTTTTTAGTATATGGACACTGTATTTTTTGTGTTTTCCCTGCCAAGGCCATGGGTTCTGCCTTCTAACCCCGCTCAGCAGCCGCAGTCACAGCAGCGGTGTGTGACACACGGCAGCGGTGTGTGACACACGGCAGAGGTGTGTGACACACAGCAGCGATGTGTGACACACGGCAGAGGTGTGTGACACACGGCAGCGGTGTGTGACACACGGCAGAGGTGTGTGACACACGGCAGGGATGTGTGACACACGGCAGCGGTGTGTGACACACGGCAGCAGTGCCGGGCACGCCCGCGGCGGCTGCAGTGCCTTTTCCAGGCACAGGAGGGCATTTCACACCCGCACCACGAGCAGCGAGCACAAACTTCGGCCACCAGACGCCTGATGAACCGCAACTGAATTTCATCATCAAAAAATACTGAAAAAATGGAGCGATAAGAATATCCTCAAGCAAGAATCAGCTTTTTACTCATTTGTTTTCAAAATGGCATGTTAATTTACAAATGCTGTGCTAGGTACATCCTCTGCCCATGAGAGAGGAGAATAGACTGTTCTCAGTTCATGTTCTGCTCTGGACCGTGTCTCCAATTGACAATGCAGAGCTAAGCAATAAGGCTTGGTCTAGGAAACGTGGGAAAACCTACTGGAGATATTTAGAATGTAGGAAAAAATAGGGAGATTGTACAGATTACTGTTAAATGTCAGCTAAAGCATGCACGAAGGCAAATGTTTAGACATTGAATCGGGAGGGAGGGAAGAGCTCTGTCTGCAGCATCAATCCTGTGGCCAAACTGTAACACAAAATAAAGACAACAGTGCTGAAGTTCAGATTTGCACCAGTGAGAGGCTTTAGTCTGCTCAGCATGGCCAGAAGTTTGCTACTGGAAATAATGAAATTTTGGAAGCTGTTTTTAGAAGCATCTGTTGGAATTTGAGCATCTAAATTCAGGGATATCCCAAGAGCTCTATCCTCCTGAGCATCTGAGGATTAGGCTCTTGAAAAATCATGTGTGAGAAGCGATGTGGAATTTGGATTCTATATTCAGCAACACATAGAGAAGAACTTATCTTTGACCCAGGGACACCCCTCAGATAATCTCAGGTCAAAGTTACATGCTGTAGACTGCAGACATCTCTCTCTCTGCCCTAGCATGAAACTGGTGGTCCACCCCACGTGAAAGCACTAGACCAACAAAAATTTTCTATGTAATCTGCTCTGTCACTACAGAGTGTCACTACAGCATTAATTCCTGCTCTGGAACAGCTGTGTAGCTGTTGGGTTGTCTTTGGCTTACCTTGAATCTTGCAGTCATTCTCATCCTGCAGTACTGTAATGGCCACTATGTGGTTATTCTCCAGCTGTGACATTGCAGCTTCATGTACAGCCGTGAGATCTTCCACCTGTTCCAGCAACAGTGAGCACAGACATGGTTAGACAGGCTGTGGCACGCTGACAAGCCACTGCTGGAGAGCTCCAGTGAGCTGGAGACAGCAAAGGGATCTACTGAATGTGACACTTCCAGCACCCGAGCCAGTTTTGCCATGTTGATGCCTTGAGTGGTAGCGTGTAGTCACTGCTGGTGGTATTTTTGTTCCTTTAACTTAATGGTGATGAAGAGGTACATAAGAAAGCAAAAGGTCAAAAAGCCCTTAGGTGGAGATGCTGTTTATTAAATGTTCAGAAGTTTCGACATACCATTAATCTAAATTATAACAATGCCCACAGCCCACAGCCATCGTGGGAGTGAGGAGTGCAGAGGAAGAGAGCTGTGGGCAGCCTGTGCTCTAGAGCACCCTTTGGGCTTGGGACTCCTTCAGTACATTGTTTGTTACTAGACTTGGCTAAAGGCTAAGTGAGATCCCTAATGATGGACTTTTGATATGAATCATTAAAGGAGCTACAATAAGAAATCCTGGTCAAGATTGACTCAGTGATCCAGAGCACTTTCTGAATGCAATGCATCAGATTTTCTGGGGTTTGTAACCACAGTGATTTTATTCCCTACATTTAACACAATATGATCTGTGATATCTGGCAAGGCAGAGGATCAAACTATTATACATTTACAGTGAAACAGCTGTTCTGTTCATGGCTAAGTGACTTGACTCTAAACAGCTTTATTTGCTCACAGTTATGTAAATAATGGTAGAAGTTTACTGCAGCTGAGTTTGCCCTGACTGGAATAAATGTTATTTCACTGCTTTTAGTTGTCAAACATATGTATTAGGTAACCCACCAGAAGCCAAATTTCCAACCATATTGGAGAAAACATGTTCTTAGAATGAAAGTTGGACATTTAACGTGGAATTTAAAATTATCCAAACTAATTTTCATAATAATGTGGGAGATAGCTAGGTGGTGAAGAACTGTTTGCAAAATAATGGGAACTCAGCCTGCTGATGTATTGCATGACAGAGCTGAGAAAGGTGGGGAGCAGATGCCTCAAAGGGCTACTAATGAGGTAAGGACTATTACCTGGCTTGTCCCAGAGCACAGTGTCCTTGTATGTGATGTCTGTAAGCTGAAGCCTCATGAGCATTGCCATGTTCTTTACCTTGCCCTTGCTGAGCCTTTATTTGCACTCTAATTGCTTCTCAACTGAACAGCACTTCCTAGGAATGCTCACACCTCAATGCTCACACCCTCAGAAGGTGAAGGGGTGTCCTCTTGCTGCCACCATCTTTGACAAGTTAGTTATCTATAAAGAAAATTAAACATGTTCCAAATTATCTGTAGGGATTTTTCTGTCTTCTGTGTGTTTCATATCCACATCCCAAATGGCTCTCTTTAATCTTCCAGTGTGATGTCCTGTCTGCAGTTTTCCATGGCAGATAGTCAACTTGGCACTGGGAAGAGCTCTCTTGGATGCTAATAACTTACTCTGTAAGCTTGATCACCTCACTTAACACAAGTCATGTTTATTTCTGGCTATGGAAAATACCTCCGGTGGGATTTTTAAGGCTTAATAAAGTAAAATCAAGAGGAGCTCTCGTGGGAGAAGTTCAGTAAGCTGCTGGGCAAGACAGCTTGAGCTGAGCACCCCAAGTGGGAAACACTGGCAAGACAGATCACAGCCTTTACTTTGCAATTCTGCCTTTAGCTTCAAGGAGATGTAAGAATGCACTGGCACACAAGATCATTTTGTGAGGAGTTTGGCTCTCATGCTCTGCTCCTCAGAGACAGCTGAACCTCCAAAACCTGACACAGGAAATGTGTCTCCAAACAAATAACAGCTGTCTGGTAGTGAACTAAGTGGTGACTGAAGCAACACAGTATGGAAGGCTAAGCTGGGACTGGAAACCATGAATGTGGGATGTGTATCTTCCAAATTAGATTTAAGGATACAGAAATACATGCAGATCCATGGTCAGAAGGATTTTGCTATTGTTATTGCCTTCAAGAATGCAAATTCAAATCCCCCTCATGCAGATGGGTAGCTCAAGCACAAGGCTTTTCTCATGTGCAGTGCAAGAGCTCCATTTCCTTGGCCAGAAAATGTTGGTGAGGAGCTTTCCAGCACGGCCTGTCAGCCCCCACTGATCCAAGAGTGCTCAGCACAGGATGGGTCTACAGCAGAGCAGGAATTCAAAGGGAAAACCTGCTAAAACTCATCATGCTAACTGAACTGTGAATTGGAAATGTGGGCTAAAGCTCTGAGATCCTAGGGTCACAGAAGCACTTTCAAAGCAATGGAGAGGAATGTTTGTGTTATTTTCAGTAATCAGGGAACACAGAGCTCTGGAGCAAACCAAGAACTATTTGCCCCACAGAGGGAAGGATGTGTTTCCACTGCTCCTCCGTGATGATGAATAGAGTCACAACAGATGAAAACATGAGAAAAATAAGCATACTTCTAGTCAAGTCCTACAATGACTTTGAACAGCTTTCTTGCAGTGATCAGCTTGAGAGGAGAAGAATCAACATCTGTTCTTGTGGTCCTGAGAGCTCACAGAAGCACTTCAAAGAGTAGCAGAGCTAAGCCATAAGCTATTTCAGCAAAAAATTAACAAATTCCTTCACAAATGCTGATGTTAGGTGATCCAGGAGAGGTAAGCCTTGGCAGCTAGAGCCAGCATCTTCTTACCAGGCAGACTGACACACTGACAGTGAAAGGAAAAAAAACGTCAAGGCTTTTGGGAACACAAGCCCTCCTTCATATCAGGAAGAAAAGCAGAAAATTTGAAGAGCATTGCAAGAAAACCAACTTGCATACACTGAAATGAGAACCAAAAGACATGGCTCAGCATAGGTTCTAACCATTTACTGAGAAATATTTTTAAAAATCTGATTTAGAACATAAAGACCTATTTAATAGCACCTTCTAACACATCTTTAGAAATCAGTTCATGAATAGAAATAGGTAGTTTGTCCAGGGCAAAACAGCCCAGTTGCATTGAGTCACAGTGTTTGTTCTGACAACAGCAGACAAAAGCAGCTGCTTGTGAGAATACTCCTGTCTACACACAGAAAGCAAAGCAAGGAGAAACACTTGGGATGTACAGTCCAGGAGATTAGGCTCAGTGGTGGGGCAGCAATCAGGGGACCTGGAGTGCATCATGTGCTTGATGTTTAGGCAGCATGTGTTGCATGGCTGCTATCACTTTATTCAGCCTAAATAACAATGGGCTGGTTCTGATGGTCTTACCTTTGTGGAACCCTTATAACCCTTGGTTTTAGTCATAAATTGACTAAAATAGGTGGGTTGAGGAGAAGATATGTGTGGGCAGCAGGACTAATCTTAATATTTTTATTGTAAAACATCAGCAAACATGTGAAGACGACATGGCAATGTAACAGATTAGTGTGTAGAAAAAAACAGTGGAACTAATAGGGAGAAAGAGCAGTAAAGTTATTACAGCAGTAAAGGATTACATTTTTCCACTCAAAACTCATTACCAGTGTCTTCATGTTGGAGTGTTCAATGTATTTCATTACCTGAACCCAATCAGTACTAGAATGGACTACTCTTCAAAGGCAACAGGTGGAGACTGACCTGGTCCTGATGCTGCAATTTGGCTTGTTCCAGCTGCAGCCTGTGCTGCTCCTGCAGGCTCTCCTTCTTGGCTTTGTACTCCTCCTGCAGCCGCTGCTCCAACGCCTGCATCTCCTCCTGCTGCTGCCTGCGGAGCTGCTTCCCCTCCTCCTCGAAGCGCCTCTCCAGCTCCTCCTTCTCGCTCAGCAGCTTCTTCCATCTCACCGTGTTGAGGTCTGTGGAGACAAGACCTCACAGTCCTCACACTGCCCAGGACCAAGCAGTGGCACTGGACCTGTTGGTAGGGCAATGAGCTTGGTGCTTCTCTCCACTGTTGCACGAGAGGTATGACTGAACACTTGACCAGAAGGATTTGTACATCCCCTTTTCCAGCTGTTCGAAGCTGCTCATCCCATAAGCCTGTCTCCAGCTCCAGCAAGGATCATTCAAATCCATTAATGCACATTTGCTTAAAATATTTTTGTATTCAAACCACTATCTTGTGTGCTTCATGGCATCAGAGAGTACAATGAAAGGCTGATACTGAAGGCAATCAGAAAGTGTGAAATTTTTACTCTGGTGAACTAACCCACTGACTATGTCTCAGAATTCACACCAGTGTTTTCCAACAGTTCTATCAAGTCAAGGAAAATCAGTCCATTCCCCCATTTGGTTCCTCACCTTTATTATCCCCCAGGCCCCAGGATAGCAATGTCACAAACACTGTGTCCTCAGCCATTTCCTTTGCTAAAGAACAGCTGCAAAAAATCCAGATATTGAAGACTTGATGCAAGCTGGACAAGATCAGCCTGAGTACATGAACAGAGCAAGCTTGCTCACTTGTGAAGATCTAACATGTAAGAAGTGATTAAAATCATCATGGCCATAACATTCAGAATACCAAAGAAGGAGAAATGGGTTTCTAATGGCACTGCTAGATCTTCTTTCTGATTTAGACCTATAGCTGATTTAGAAAGATGATCAAGTTTTTGAACAAACTGACTGCATATTTATCCTTCCCTTGCCTTTCAAGATGCACATGCCTTGCTCAGACCCATGGGGCACTGTAAGTCAGAGGATTGGGAGCAGGTGTCTCCCTGCTGAAAGCTTCAAACCCATATTTATCCTATGACAACATATTTGTTCAATACCTCTATCTTCTTGCCTCTTTCTACTATGGTGTCAGACTGTGTTCATTTTTCCCAGGATAGCAATAATTTGTCCAAGTTACCAGTGCTGTCCCTACAGCTTATGTTAGGTGCACCCATGCCAAGGTAGTTTGACACCCAAGCTAACCATTCCCTTCCCACACAGCTATTTTTCACCCTATTTAGAGCTCTGCTTCCACACTTACTGGACACCAATATCCAGATTTGCTCAGTATGTCCAGACAAACACTGCCAGGCTCCTGTTCTGATCCTGGCATTTTCTGGAGCACTGTGAGGGACTCTGTCCCTGTCAAGCTGTCTGCTCCTGATTGAAAGAGTGAACCAGTGTGTTCAGCACCTCAGTGGCAGCATACAAAAAGGTTTTCCAGTTGCCTTATATCCAGAATGGAATGGTACATTAGCTGGAATGTCTTGTCTCCTGGCAGTCTGGATTAGAACTCTAAACCCTCTCTCTTGCTTTTTGCTTTTTTATTATCTTTGGCATGTAAAGTGATCCCAGAGCAGGAGGGGTTGTGCTTGCAGCTCTGCCTTCAGTAGAACTCAAACTTACTCAAGCTTTACATAGGAGATGTAATGGACCCCATCTCTCTCCAGCTCTCTAATGAGATTACCCAGCACACAGGGAGGGCTGGGAAACGAAACGTGCTCTAACCAAAAGAAAGTTAATCTGAAACACATCCTGTAACTTGCAATACAAGACTATTCACAAACCAGACCCTGATGCAGGTGTAAAATGGAGGGAAGAGGGAAGCAGGGAAAGTGAGCTTGCAAGGCATGTTCCCCATACACCCAACAATGCTCCTGGAGGCAGAAAATGAGGCAATTTGCCCTATGCAGAATATTAAACACCTCTAATGAGAAGGAGTGATCCCTACCCTAAGTCTCAGACTAAGACAAATGAGGCTGAGGACTGAGGTGTTGAGGAAAAACTGGATCTCTTCTTAGCAGGGAGATGGACCTTTGGGCCTAACTCTCCTGGGACAGACACAGCAGAAGGCAACAGCCCTGGAGCCCAGGGATCTGCAGCTGTGGTGCCCAGGGAGCCGGAACCAGTGTGGGACAGCCTGCCCTGCTGGAGCCAGCTGTGCGGGCCTGGTGAAACAGCTGGGTCATCTCCAGCAGGGACCCCATCACAGATGCCTGAACAGACGACCTGCTAATGCTGCTGGAAACTCAGAATTTATCTTACAGGGATACTGTTAAAGTGAGCTACTCTTATAGGAAAAAGAACAAATGACTCTGAAAAGTTATAAGAATGTATTACTGACATGGAACAAGACAAGCAGAGCACAACTATTACTGCTCTGTTTCGAAGTTACACCCTGGTTTTCTTCTTCCTTCTCTGTAGGTATCTGCATTGCTGCTTCCAGGCTGGAAATGACTCTGACACAAGGTGGCATTTCCTGGGATGGCAGTGTGCTGGGTTAAGTGAGACCAGCTACTGCAGCTTCCCTACTCCTGAGCACTGAGTGCACAACAGATGAGCAAAACCCACTTCGGGCTGGGCTGGGAAGGTGAGGGAAAGGTAGATGTTAGTAGTGGACTGACCTTCCTTCCCCCACCACCCACAGTCAGAGCCACAGTGCAGCCCTGGCACTTTGCATTCACGAGTGCAGCTTCTGTGGGAACTGGGGGCTGGTGTCTCGTGGCCTTACAGAGGGACTGTTTCCTTCTGACATGAGAAATGAGCTCTTCTTCGTGACCCTTGGCCCCAAAATCACAGACAAATCATAGCCACCACATGCAGGTTAAGTGTCCTCTGACTGGAAAGCATATCCATGAGGAGATGGCACAAAGGCTTTGGATTCAAAATGCTTGAGAACACAGATAATACAAATTTTAAACTTGACATCTCATTGCCTTTCCTTCATCTAGGCTTTTTATGCATCTCCATACCTCCTCTCAACACACTTCATGTCATTGGTCTGACAGTGAAGGAGCAGGTAATTTTGACATTTAATTTCCACTAGTTTGAAGGGAAACAGACGGTATTCAAAACCTCTTTATTGAAAGAGACTCAGTGTTGCAGCTGAAAAGTGCTTATATTTATAATTTATAAAGATCTGTCTCTTAAGTGTAGAACTTGAGTGTAGCTTGTCATGTTTTCCTAGCCTTGCTATTTCTAGCAAAATACATGAGCAAACCTTATTGCTTTAAATAACAAGTTCCTCAGTGTTTACAGAGGCCAAGATTCCTCCCCAGGACTCGGAAGGGAGAATCACTTTCCAATTTCACCCACGCTGGTTTCAGATGCGGTGTGATACTTTCACAGGAGTGCTGGGGGTAGAAGTGGACAGTGTTGTCTGACCTCAATATTTTTCCTGGCTCCAGAAGGATGCAGGTCTCCCTAAGCTATTTTTACACATACTCCATCACTACTATTGCTTCAGCAATGGTTTTATTTGCCACAAGAATTTTCCTTAAACATATATTCTTATTTTTCTGAACAGTGGGTTCTCTGTTGCAGTTTCACTGCTTTGCATAGCAGAATCCTGCAGTTTCTGTTGAAGATAAAGACTGCACACTGTGAAAACCAAGCACATTCAGCACCCAAATTAAAACTCTGATTTACAGCTATTGCCTAAACAATGAAGTGTTGGACTCACTGCCTATATCAAACCTGGCTAGTCCAGCCTTATTTAACTGATTCATTCAGGCATTGGCATCAGTGAGTCTGACATGGTGAATTTACACATGAGAAATCAGGAATTTCTGACCAACACCCATGCTGTTTAACTGGACTGGTTATTTTTAAATTAATGAAAAACTACTTAAGAAAGTGATGGAAGCAAGTCAGAACTACAGCTTGCTTGTAGTCAAAATAACATGCTCTGATTTTCCCAGAATTTCTTCATAAATCACCCAAGATTGCTGTTGTCAGATAAAGGACAGTTTCATTCTTTATTTGCATAAATAATGTACAATGTTGTACAACACACTGATCCATCTGACAGTGAGACCAAAATAATCCTCCTATAGCACAGGTGGGCTGCATGTGTCCAGTAGCACCCTCATGCCTGCAGTAATAACCTCAGCTTGAACTGCTTTAGAGACTGCAAAGAACTGTGCTAATTAGAATGCCCTCATGTACATGGCATTTACCATTTCACCTTGTCCACAGTTTTAAAACACTGGTTGTTTCACAAAATTAAGTTTTGTAATTTTATACCAAAGCAAAACAGACTGTGCAGCAATTTTTGACTTATACTAAAAAACATAGTCATTTACCTTCCATGTGTAATAGGATATGGGACATATACTAGGGATATCTAGGGATATGTACTAAGATTTTAATTGCTGATGAATTATTTCACATTCTGCTGAAGTGCAATACCTGCACATGTTCATCTTTTTGTTCATCCCTGGTGGGAGTGCTTCTAGCTGGCCATGCTGCATCTCAGGGTTGCACAGGGAGGATTTCCTCCACCAAGCTGGTGACCAGCCACCTGTGTCACTCACAAAGAGCCTCTGCTCAGCATCTCCATGTCTTCCAGAGTGATGGGAGGAAGAGGTGGCCTGTAATGACTCTTCTCCATTACACATGCCCACAGGGCCACTGAGGAAAGGACTCTCTCACACCATCTTTTCCCTTTCTGAGGAAGAAAGCCCATACACAACTACAGCTTATCTCCGTTCTGAAGCAGTGCAGCTCAGGCTGCTTTTCTGGGCTGTCTGTGGTTCTTACCAAAACTGTCCCCACACATGGCCCCAGGTCTCAGCTTTGTGCAGAGGAGGTGTCTGTTGCTGCATGTGCAAGGGCAGGCACAGCAGGGATCTCCTGTTACTGAGCATGCTGCTCTGAGACCCCCAAACTGACTCCAGTTATATCCTTGACAAAGTTCTCTTCTCCAGCAAAACCACCAGGGATTTGTACTCACTTCAGCTGTACAAACATGGTGTAAATGGAAGCAGAGCTCTTCATCTCCAGCACTGAACCTCTCTTTCCTTCCCACGTCACTGCCACTTAAAAAAAGCGCTCAGGAAAATGAGCAAACCCAGCCTGCTACATTGAGGTAGGGCTCTCAGATGAGAAGTGGCTATTGAACCAAGAACTTCAGATGTGCCCTGCCTGAAGAAAGCACCAGTGGCAACAATTATTCTGTAAGAGCTGTAGAGATGCAGAGGATGGAGGAAGGCAGGCATCAGGGAATAACTGGGAACCTGTTTTGCTATTGCTGCAGTATGCACTGGCCATGGGGACACTAAAGCTCTCTATGAAATGACAATCAGCCAAAGCATTTCAGAGAGGCAAAGCAGGGAGCACAAGATGCTGGGCATCTGAAAAGAGCTGTGCTCAGCTTTTCTGAAGTGGGCTGTCATGGGCAAGGTGAAGGCAAAGCACAGTGAGGGTCTGCAGCTCTGCCCGTCCCACAAGGGTTTGGTCTGAACCTCTCTTTGCTGGACACGTCATGCTCTGGCCACATTGACACAACCTCTGCTTAATGGGTGACCCAGGAACTGGTTTCCCACATGCAGGGAAAGCTGAGAGGTCCCCCCTATTCATAGCTTCAGCCATCAGTGGTTCCAACACCTGTTGGTACTCAGGGTGTCCCCTGATGCAGTGGTCCTGCTCTCCTTTTGCCCTGAGGTAGGTGAACTCAACATCACACTCATTCTGGGAAGATTTAAGACCAGAAGAACTCAGCCTGTTGGCTGAAGCCAAAGCAAAAGCCCACCTTCTCTCTCAGGAGTGGTAGTATCTTTACACTCTCTCTCCAGTCTAGATCAGAAACTAAAAAGGAAAAGAGGGGCATACAGATATACAGGGAACACACAGACCAAAGGGGATGCATTGCTCTTTCTGTCTTTCGACCAGGAAGAGACCTTAGAGATATTAACAAGCAAATCCTGACCTTGGTATCCTTTGGTTTGTAGCTGAACTGCAAAACACAGCAATGTTCATAAGCTGGTGATGCATTCCCAGTCACTGGGCACTGCAATGGTCCCGAGCTCCCACCTTTCATCACACAGCGATTTCTTCTCAGCAGTGCTGGTGTTTGAGGACAGAAGCCATGGATTTATGGAGAACAATTTGTATAGCAAAGATGATGCACAAATGTGTGTGGTGATGAAAAAAATGCCTGGCTCCAGTGTGTGTGGTGATGAACTCATCTGCACAGCAAAGAGGTAAAATCAAGGTTCCCTGCAAAATCACAAAACCTTTTGCCACTGGGCTTCAGAAAACACTTCATCACATGTATGGAGGTACCTCAGGATCAGGTCACGGAGAATAATAGTAACTGCTTTCATGTAAAGTGAGAAAATCACTTTGTTGTCATTTTGATTGTACTACTTACCAACTTCCTCCCTGATCTTTGTAAGCTCGACTCCTAACTCCTTTATTTTCACAAGGGCATTTTCATTCTGTTTAAGGAAAAAGAGAGAAAAATATGTATAGTACCCAAGTTTATCCCAGATAAGCACTTTCACATGTTCATTTAGTAAAGCAGATTAGATTGATTCCTCATATTACTTTTTCTTTTTTTCTTTTTTTTAGGGGATCTTTAGGGGAGGGGAGTAGGATTATAATGAACTCATTCAGTTTTTAAATCAAGCTTAGGAGCTACAACTCACAGGCTTCAAGTACCTTGTATGTCTGTGAGTACATGTACACACTCGTGTACAGAACAGTGCAGAATACTCTGTTAACTCCTATGTGTCTAAAAAGACATCTCGATTTTTTTATAATTCTGTGGTAAGTCTGCATATTATTTATGGCTGGACTGCATGTACAAGATGGATTTATTAAAACTGTTAATTTTTTGTCATCCATTTAAGCCTGCATTTAACCACCTCCAATCAGATTAATATGTTCACAGAGTCAAACTTACAGAGCAGATTGCTGTACTCACAGTGTTTTATGCATGGTGAGCATTCCCATACAAACACCACTAATAACCTGATGTTCATGCCCATCTCCACATCTATCTCTGTGATTTTATTTATTTATTTATTTATTTATTAGGGCTCTTTTCCTTGACTAGTCTCAAAAGAAATCTGAATATTTAAAGAGTAAAATAGATGAATTGGCTAAAGGAAAATTAAAATGTATTTACAAGAGCAATGTTAAGGTGTTATTACCAAAATGCAAAGATTTTGATAGCAGATATCTGACTAGTGCTGTGCAAACTGACAAACAAAATTCTAATCTCCATCCACTGGAGTCTGATTTAGTACAATAAATCCCAGCATAGCAGTTCAATTATATGGGCACTTTAAATTGGGATGTATCGTGAATCATATTAGAAAGAAGACAAAGGAATGTACCCTGCTGAGAAGATCACTAATGATTAATAAAACTAGATCAGGTTACTATAAATATGTCCCAGGTTAGAAAAGGCCAAGAATCCTTAAAGGACACTACAGAAAAATCACATTCAAGAGAAAAAGCAGCACAGTAGTAAATTGAATTAAAAGGAGTCCTAGAAACCAAATCTTTCAGTATTAAGCAACCAAGGCTAATAAAAATCTAGGGCACAGATAGGATTAGTTTGGCTGCAGGATACATTGCAGATAAGATAGCAAGTCAGTTCTATATTACAGAAATGAAAGTGGAAAAAAAAATCAGAACCTAATGTTTCTGTGTATTTTTCCTGCACCTAACTTTTAACTCTGTTAAGAGAAGTAACACAACTTCATTTCTGGTAATACCAGAATAACAGAATCTGGAATTTGAATCAATCCTTTACATACTGCCCTTTTGGGATGGTTCCCACCAAGTCCAAATGACACACTTTCCAGGAAGTTTGCTGTAAATGGAGTGATAAACTGAACTGATTTGAGAGCCTTGAAGGCTTGAGGAGACCCAGATGATGTGGGCATCTTTCTTATTCAGTTATGGGAAGAAGCCAGGAATGCAAGGCCTGGCTCCTCTCGTGACTCCTCCTGGCTCCATACTCTGCTGAGTAATGCACAGGGGGCTGTGAGCCAGGACTGCAGAGTGACCAGTCCTCACCAACTGCATTAGGCTCAGAATAAAATGATGTGGATTCTTATGCATTTCTTTTTCCTAATTAGTCCAAAAGTTATGGAAAAAAAAAGTCCAGATAAATATAGCCTGATATATTAAAAAAACAGATTCCTTCACATAGATTCCCAAACCAGCAGCCTTACAGGAGTAAGGTTTCCCCTTTTGGAGAATACCATTGCATCTGCCCATATGGTCTGATTAGCTCACTGGAGTCATTTTCAGAAGTGCTCTTGACTGCCAGGCCTGGTGCCCTTGAAGGTGTGTGCTCAGGGATGTACTGGATGCAGGACTTGCAGATGGGAAGCACCCACTCAAATTACCAGTTCTCATTCTTTGAAACAAAAGCCATTCAAAGCAAGGAAGCTTTGCACAAATCACTGCCAGCACCTACAGATAAGCAGAACTCACTGGGATTGTTAAAAGCAAGTAAAACCCCCACTTTTTTGGGAAAAAAAATTTTGATTCCCCATGAGAAATATTATAGGCTCCATATTTTACATGATGTTTTATCTTAGATAAGGTTTTTACTACCCTTGAGGACACTTGGTGGTGAGACCCTCTCCAAAAATGTGCAGAACTGCCATGGTGCCAGCTTAAAAATACTATCCCGTAACTCCAGCTCCAGCATGGACACCAACCCACCAGGGCAGTGGGGGTCATGTCTGCCCCCCACCACGCTGGGGCTGTGGTTTCCAGAGCAGAGCAGCCCCTGGGGCTTCCTTCAGCAGCCAGATCAGCACAGCTCAGGTGCCTTCGCTGTCGTTTTACTGCTCTGCCAATACTTCTTGCATTGTGTTTTATTTTGGTCAGAGCTTCCTGTCTGCTCTTTGGGACTTCATACTTATGTTTCCTGGGAAATCAGATGTGCAAGGGTCACCCTCAGTGCCAAGGCCTCAAGTAGTCCTTCTTTCTGAGAGGGTTCTTCTGGAGAGCAACAGCACGAGACCTTATCTTCCTCTTGTGGAAGAGAAGCGAGGTGCAGCTCTGGCTGATCATCAAGTCAGCCTCAAGGTTTCCTGGATGTGCAGTGAACTCACAAATCCCTGACATCTTCTGTAACTGCAACCTGCTTTGTCAGGGAGACACGATAGGTTTGGCCTGCACGTGTTCCTGTGACACTGTGAACATGACAGCAGTGCAAAACAAAAGAGCCACTGCTTGTTATCATCAGTGTGGCTCTGCAGATAACCAGCACTCCACTGCCAGTGTAGCCTGGGAACTGGGAATGCCAGCGCTAAGGAAACCAAACATTACCATAAGGCAAATCTGGATCTGACTTTGGAATATAAAGCTACCACATTCAGTGCTGAGATTCCTATACATCCACTGTCAAAACATCAATGCAATTCAAAAATTCACAAGCACACAAGGAAAACTTCCCCAAAAGAAATGGATAAGAAACCAAGTCAAGAGGATGTCCCATTGGATTAATCAGTTTTCATTAATAAAAAATCTCAACTAAGTATTTGAAAGAGAAGACAGAGTAAGAAGTTTTGTGTCCACTAAGGCTCAGCATATCAAAGGAGCTTTGCAGGGATTGTCTACTAGGTCACCACTTGGAGCTGAGCATTGCAGGCAAACATCCAAGGGCCAAACCTAACTTAGGTTTAATAAGGTTCACCGAGTGCACACACCTGTTTTCAGTAGGTGAAAAGATCAGAGACCCTGTAAGGAGACTGTGTGAATATCCACCATTTCCAGTGCAGCAGTTAAATGGCAAGGAAGAAAAAATATTGCCTTGATGTGATCTGGAACTCCTTTTTTTTTATGCCCAAAAATGTGAAACCAAAACAGTGCATGTTGCACAAATTAAAATGTCGCATTTACTTGTCATGTACTTTTAATGAACGATCGAGCGCATTGCTTTTCAGAAAAATGATGACAAAAGTCTTCTGTTGGCTGCATCCCAAGAAATTACTCTGATAGTGAAGTAATTTTCATAAAATAAGATTACACTCATGATGGAGAAGAAGAAAAACTTCTTCCTCATTCCTGAACTCTGCAACATAATGATTAAGTCTTGTGCCTGGAATATGTCCCATCTCTTCAGACAGAAAGAAAAGGAGAATAAAACAGGTAGAATGACGTTTGTCTTACTGCTCTGTTGAATAGAAGACACAGCATCAATGCTTTTTCCTATCATCAGCTCTGTAAGCATACACACCTCCCAGTATTTCTTCTGTGAAAGGCTTGATGTTGGACAGCATTTCAGCAAGTGAAACAGACACCGAAAATGGCACATGTGAGTTCTCTGTTCAACTCAAAACACGCTGAGGATGGACTGAGGCATGACTTATATTGGTGCAACAGCTCCAGAAAACAAGGCAGGTAGTCAGGCAGGTAGGCAGAGGTGTAGGAAGAAAACAGGAATTTGTACAATTAAATAGCAGTGGCCAAACCTAGCAGCATAGCTCAGAAAAAAAAAAAAAAAAACAACAAGCTGAATTTAGATATAACTGCATGCAAGGACCTAGAAAAATCACTTGGTAGGAGAAGTCATGATATGAACCTGGGGATGGACTAGATGCTGGCATTGCCCAAAGAGATTAAGAAAGGAAATGGTGATGAAAGCTTGTGGGCAGAGGCTGAATGGGGCACTGAGCAACCTGATCTCATTGAAGATGTCCCTGCTCATTGCAGGGGTCTCGGACTAGATGAGCTTTAAAGGTTCCTTCCAACCCAAATTATTCTGTAATTCTGTGGTTCTATGAAAGACTGCTTTAGTTGAATGGAGCTTCAGATGACAGATAGACATCCTCAAGGAACATCCTCAGGGAGATAAGTCAAGATTTTACCTTGGACCAGGAGTAACTGAGGGATGGGGAGGCAGATTTGAGGTTTGTCTTAGAGTCTCTCTCCTCTGAGAGCTACAACCTAACTGAGAGGTACTAATGAATTAGAAATACTAATTAAGTAAACTCCAGGTACTTTTTAATGATAGGTAAGTAACAGTAGATCCATCATAGAAATGAAAATGGGTCAGATCAGGCAAAGAACACAGAAAATTGCTCAGACCCACAGAGGAAGTCAGCAGCAGCTAGGAAGCAAACACACGAGCCTGGAGTTACCTTCCCAAACTGACATGACCCTCCACCCTGCCAACTTAACATGTTTGCTTATATTCTAAGATCCAAATGCATGCACAGTGTCTCCACTGTACAAACACTTCTCAGTTCTCCACAGTATCTCCTTAAAACTCTCTGCACACAGATGCTCTGTGGCACATGTTATTAAAACTGCTCCTCCAGAACAGCTGTCTTCTATGCAGAGCTTTCAAAATACTAAAAAAAAAAAAAAAAAAAAAAAAAAAAAAAAAAAAAAATCCCTGACCTGCAAACGGTGCTTAGTCACTGTTGTGCTGTATTCAGACTTCCCTGTGTCAAGGTATTATATT